TCCAGGGCAGAACTCAAGAGGCACAGAAGCTGCTGACAGTGCCTGGCACTGCCCCCGACATGGAAGGTCACTGTCTCCTCTTTCTCCACTCTGGACTGAGGCTGTGTGGACTTCACTGTCCACTGTGTAGAGATCTTGGCTCCATTCCCCAGCAGAGGAACCTCCCTGCCCATCCTCCCTCACAGGCACCCCGCCGGTCACCCATCCCCTAACAGGAGTCCCTCCCAGCATCCTCCCAAGCCCTGAGCGGGTCTCTGTCCCTGCATCGTACCCCAAGACTCAGCTGTTCTCTCATACAGTTTAAATGTCCCTCCTGGGCCCCTGCCCAGGTCCACTGCCAACCAGTATGCACCTCACTTTTGGCCAAGAAAGACCTGCCCATGCTGGACCCACCCCTAGCAGCCCAACAGCTGGTTTTTCTAGGCAGGATCTGTAGTCTCTCATCCCACAAGCCTTTGCCAACAAAATACCAGAGGCTGAGAGGTCAGTGGCCGGGGGAGGGGCATTAATATACAAGCTTTTTTCCACACTGCCACAGCCCTACTTACTCAGTGTATGCAGTTTACCTAGTTTTGCTTAACTAGTCACACAACTACATATATGTACGTATGTACAGGGTATGTGTAATGTGCTAGGACTATCAATCCTGAATGTCAACTTCACTGGATTAAGAAGCACCTAGCAGAAGAGTGAAGCATGCTTTTGGGTGTGTCTGGAAGGGTCACGGAGCTGTGACCTTTAGAACTATTATCTTCTCCTTGCCCCTTCCTCTCGTACTGCTGACCTGCTCTGCTTCCTGGCCAACATGAACTCAAGTGTCCACCATGTTGTTTCTGCCTCGTAACCATGGACTGAAACCCCAAAACATGAGTCAAATAAACTTCTCCTCCTTTAAGTTGTGGGTGTAAGGTAGCGTGTCAAGCTAAGGTACTAGTGACAGGCTAATCTATCATTTTTAAAAATTATCTTTAGCACTGTTTTTTAACCAGTAATAACCAGCTGTGTGATAGCTGGTTATATTAAGATATATTATTACAGATTAAACACAGTGCTGCTAAGGATAATTTTTAAAAAGGTTAACAGTGATACTGAAATAAACTGAAGACAGGGCTGGGAATGTAACTCAGCGGTGCCACACCTGCCTGACAAGCACAAGATCCTGAGTTCAATTCCCGGTACCAAGGAAAAAAACAACAACTGAAGACACACACCACGTGGATCAGCTGTCTGCAGGACATGATGATAACTGTGCACGCGTTGCTTTGTAGGGACGGTCAGGCTGTAGACATGGGTTGCTGGTCACTACCAAGGTTTGCATCAGGTTAAAAGCCAGTTCAGAAGAGTACTCTCTAGCTAGTTACATGTTTATCTGTCTAAATATTATCAAATAACTGAATAATCCCCCAATTTTGTTAAGTAGACATGAACCTCAATAATGCCCCAATTTTTTTAAGTAGAGCAGCCACGGACATGGTTGTTGATGTCCAGACTGCTTTCTAGGGTATTCCGTTGATCCGTTCTCATGTGTTTTTAGGGTTGCAGGCCATCATGTGCCCAGAGGGGTGACAAAGAGGAGCCACAAAGTCCTAGCTCTGCCAGGAAGAGACAAGGGGTTAGGCAGAGTGTGAGTCATGGCCACGGGCATGTCACCACTCATCTGGAAGCTGGGCAGTGGTAAGAAGGGACTCCAGAATAGGAAAAGCACACAGAACTATAGGGCCAGATGGAAGACGCACAATGAGTTCCCTGCAGAATGTGGCATTCCCTCATGTATGGTTATTATTTGAAGACTCTTGAGACTCTGAAGTGACACATTACAAGGATTTTTTCAGACAGCCAAGCATCACAAGCCATTCCAGTGAGTCCAGGGAAAAGAACTCTGATGGCCACCATCAAGAGCAGGAGAAAAACATGAAAGAAGTAATCAGGGTGCTTTTTGAGGGATACTTTATTAAATGCTTTTGCAGCAGAGCTTTTAATACATGAAGACATGTGGAGGGCCTGGCTGCACAGAAAGAAATTTTTTAAATGTGTGAACTTCAAACAAAGCAAGAAGTGTCTACACAATTTCATTACTAAGGGCTTCTAATCCAAATGAAATTCCTTATTTGGCTTGGTGTTTTCAAACATGAGTCTGACAGATAGAAAATGTTACACTACACAGTATTTGTGATTTTACTAGTTATTCACCTCAAATAAACAGGCTTAGCTAGAGCAGAAGAGTTAATAAGAAACATTCAATACAGACTCCAAGACCGGCAATGTGGCTCCATGGAGTCCTTGCACAGCATGTGCAAAGCCCTGGCTTTGATTCCCGGTGCCACCAAAAGAGCAAAAACAAAAGACTCTAAATGTGAAACTGTGGTGAAGTCACCTGCCAGCTTGGCATGATTGAGATTTCCTGGCTGGTCTGAGGCTCTGGGGACTGCTTGGCAGCTGGTGGCTACAGCTATGTTTTGGCCACCCAGGGGTAGATGAGAACAGCCAGCAAAGGCCCAGAAAGAGGCGTGGATGGACTGCCATGCTGCATGTCTGTTTTTCTCGGACTAGTTAGCAAGGGCTACTACTTCCATTAATTATAGTATGTAACATTTATAATGTGTATATTAATTACAAGAATATGCCCAGCATTATTTAACACTTTACAAGAATTATCTAATCCTTATGAGTGTCCTTCCTGTGAAGCATGAACTATTCTTGTCCCGTTTTACATATTACAGATGAAGCAAAGAGGCACCAAGAGGCTGAGGAGCGTGTCCAAGGTCGGCTGGAGTGAGGCAGCCCAGCTCCCAAGCCTCCTTCTTACCAGATATCACACAATTGTTGCCAGACTCACTGGGCCTCACAGGACAGTTCTGTGCTTTCCTGAGGGCTCCCTCGGCCTCCACTGTTTTACTCTTTTGCCTCTGGTTATATCTAGGAGGTTTGTCGTCCCTTCGCTGTGGCTACCTTTCACATAGGAGTGGGACAGCTGCAGCGTTAGAAGAAACACAGTCAGGGAAAGGATGTAGCATGTTTCAAAACAACATCCAAGGAGTTGTTTTCCGGGAAGAAGGCTGGATTTTCTCTCATCCATCTACATTCTTATCCTTTTATAATAAAGGCTTATCCCCAGTGGAGCAGAATAGCAGCCCCTCTGCCCCAACCTCATCCCTGAGCCTGGGAACGCATTATCTCACGTACCAAGACAGGGTTTGCAGGGGTGATTAGGTTAAGGATTTTAAATAGGGCAAACATCCTGGGTTATTTGGATGAGTACAACATCCAAAGATCTGTGTAAGTGAAGCACAGGAGGCAGGTTGGTCAAAGTCACAGGGATTTGAAGATGCTGCTCTGCTGCTTTGAAGATGTAAGATAGAGGAAAATGGGTCAAAGGATAATGCAAGTGTCTCCAAATGCTGGAAAAGGAAAGGAATTGAAGTCATCACAGCCTCCCACTCCTTTAGTCTGGTGAAACCACTGGAGGTAGGAAACAAAATGAGAACTGTATCAACAATATTAACGCCCAAGGGTGGTTTGACTAATAGAGGAAATGTTACTTATTTTCCTCTCCTTAGAATGTCTCCTGGCATTTACCCTCAAGGAACATAAGACTAGAGGGAAATAAGTACATGTAAATGGACCCATAAGGAAGATACAGGTTATGCCTGAAAGCAAAAGGGACACATAGGGAGGTCAAATATTTCTTGGAGGGAAAATGATTCCTGCGTTAGTCTGGGTTCTCCAGTGAAACAGAACAGAGGGAGAGGACAAAAAAGACAGAGGGAAGGCTGAGGATTTAGCTCAGTGGTGCTGCCACCTGCCTCCAAAGCACAAGGTCCCAGGTTTGATCCCCGGTACCAAAAAAAAAAAAAAAAAAGGGTGCTGCTGCGGAAAGCTAAGGTGTATCAGTGAACAAGACAAATCTTAGAATGATTACGTATTGCACCACTCCATCTGTTTGCAGAAAAGGAGATATATTTGTAATTATGCACATAAAGCACCAAGAAGGCAGGAAAATACACAACACGTTAGCAATGACCACTTCTAGGAAACAGAAGGAAGGGGAATTTCCAGCCTGTTTACACTTCATGGTTGGAATCTTTTGCAAAGAGAGCACATTCACGCGTAACCCTAAAATAAAAAAGGCAAAACCCAAGAATGCAAAGCACAAGGAGAACAAGGGGAGGTTATGAAGTTAAAAGAAACTGAAGATTGAAGGGAGGGCAGGGGAAGGGGGAAAAATAACCAAGAGAGATTATGTAAAGGTGCCAATTTCCAATGATGAATGTCATTATATTGTATACCTAAAATGTACGATAAAATAAATTTTTTTTAAAAAGCAACTAAAAATAAAGCATAAGGCATACCTTGCCACGTACATGTCCGCACCAAGTTCATGCGCAAGGGGCTGTTCACTACCTGGTGACGGAAAACGAGGAGGGGATGGAAAAGGAAAGCCAACTTGGAGGCATCGTACGTCGTATGTGTCCATGCACGCACAGAAGAGCACACCGGTCACAGTGGTGGGACAAGTTTTGAGTGGGTGCGATTCTTTGCGGGAGGTTTTATGTTCTCTTGGCTTCTCTGCATGTTCCTTCTTTTTAAAAAGGTAATGCATTAAAAAAAAAAAAAGATAATACATGTGTATGGACTGCAATTTTAAGAGCACAGGAAGATTCTCGGTGACGTGTCTCTTCGGCCCCTTCCGCCTCTGAGCCCCGAGGACCCCCGCCGGAAGGCGCTGCGCTGCTACTTCCGTCGGCGCCGGAGGACGGTCTCCGAACACTTGCAGGTTCCGGCGCCGACGGTCCCTCACGCTTACAGCTCCGGCGGACCGTTCTCCCCGCACTCACTGGGCCCGTCGCCACAGGGAGTCCGCACCCGGTGAGACAGCGACCCAGAGGCTGAAACGCACGCGGTACGGGAGCGCCCCGGAACCAGTGGCAAGACGCCCGTTTTCCGCTCCAGAGGGGACGCTTCTGCAGGGACTTCCGGGACGTGGCCTGTCGGGAGCGGAAGTGCCGTGTGGCGGGCGCTGTGCGGTGGGCACCCGGAGACGCCAGGCGGCTGAGTTCTGGGGCGTGGGCTGCCCCCCAGGCGCGCGGCCATGAACCTGGAGCGGCTTCGGAAGCGTGTGCGGCAGTACCTGGACCAAGTGCGGGGCAGCGGGGCTGGAAGGCGGGGCGGCGGGCCTGGGTGGAAGGCGGCTGGGCGCAGCGAGGGAGATAAGCTGCAGTCAGGCCATAGAACTTGGCTGGCCCCGGAACGTTTCAAGTTTTAGTTGTGATTTTTATTTGGCTGAATTCATGTGAATAAGAATATATACAAGCTTATCTCAAGTCATTGGTTAAAAAAAATTCCTATTAACGACATGGGACCCCTTACACTATTCTGGAGGGGGCAGCAAGACGGTTTAAGACTGGAATAGCATCAATGTGATGTCTTTTCGTTTTTGTTTTTTGTTTTAAATTATTTGCATTCCTAGTAAATTGCAAACGAAGAGGGGAGGGCAAAGCCATGTTCTTTCTATTCCGAGTGTTCCAAACTGAGTACTAAGTGATGTCGCCCAGGATTTGCACCATGCTGGGCGGCTGTGTTGTTTACCAGTCATTGAGTTAAAGGTTTTCTTACCATTTTTTCTTTGGCACTGGAATATAGAGGAATAACATGGGCCTGGTTTCCTCCTGGGGCATCTTTGAGCAGATTTGCAGCTGGTCTGTAGGCATCCATCCTACCGCCTTGTGGCTTGCACCCAGGGGAACTGAGGCAAAGATTGTAAAAAGACCAAGATACATGAAGCAGGGACTAAAGCTAGCCATGACAAACTTGTGAGTGGCTTTTTAGTGTCAGCTTTTTGTTTATTCGTATGTTAACAGCTTTCGGAATGGATCTTTATAAATGTTGGCATAGGAAGTGGTAATGACTAGATTTTAAATTACCTATTTTCGGAAGGTACTGATAAATTTTTTGCAGTGTATTTTTTTTAAGACTGCCTTCATGAATTGTATATGTAAAAATATTACAATAATGTTCTCATTGTACAATTAAATTAAAACTCATCCTAGCCAGGCTATAAGATAGAGATGTGATTGACAGACACTACACATAAAAACTTACTGCATCGAGATGTTACTATATGGCATTTTAATAATAGTGGACATTGTTCATAACTGTGGGAGCAACAGGACAATCACTCCTTGTTCATTTTTGTGTGTGTGCAGCAACAGTATCAAAGTGCTTTGTTTTGGGCAGACAAAGTAGCTTCGCTCTCTCATGGTAAGTGGTAAATGGTAATTTTTTTCTAATTAAGCTTTAAAACTCTATTTCACCTTGCACCTCTGACCATGTGTAATTTTTCCCTCCAGAGGAGCCCCAGGATGTTTATTGGTTGGCTCAGTGTCTTTATCTGACAGCACAGTATCACAGAGCAGCCCATGCACTTCGGTCCCGAAAATTGGACAAAGTAAGCCCATTATTTGCATGAGTTTCAGAGCTTTCAATCCTGTTTAAAAATTATCAGACTATCACCAGATGGGGTCCAAGGAGGTCCCCCACAGAGGAGAAGATGACCATAATTCACTTCATCCATGGAGTAGGTTGTAGGATCACTGACTTTTGTCACAGAAAAAAATTTTCAAGATGCTTCAGTGAGAGCTTTATTAGGCAGGATTTTAAAAGTTCATATTCAGAGAGAATAGAGTGTGGGCCCTCAAGAGAGAGGCATATTCTGGTCTGGAGTTAGGTATATAAGGTAGTATTGGGGAGGTGTTACTAAGATAAATGATCTAGGATGTGTATTCCTACTATCAGGTTACCCACTTGGTCGAGCTATGTTAGAATGTAAACCATTTTCATGTGTTTTAAAGTTGAGATATGCTGCCCCCTAATATTTCTGGGAGGAAGTGTAATTTATAGATGAAAAGTGCAAGCCCAATTTACAGGCTTATTGTACCTTTAAGACCCTTAGGAATTTGGTTTGGTTTGTTTTGGTTTGTTTGTTTTGAGTTTCTTGAAAGAGAAAAGGAGGGCTGGAGTAATTTTTGTGTCCTGAAGCTGCAGCTTTTTTAAAAGTACATGTATAAAATTATACTCCTTGTTTCCTTTCTACCTATCTTTATTGCTTCTGTCCTACTTCAAGATTAGTATTTTATGTGTGTGTTCTATTTATGTCAAACTTACTTAAAAGAATTCATTTCTTCTTGAACGTGAAGAGAAAATTTCATATTCTTAGCTTCAGTCACCTTGTTTTCCCTCCCTCTATACCCCAATTAGTCACTTAAGTTCTGAAAATTCTGTTTTGGAAAAAGAAAATTCTGTTTTGGTTATTGTTCTTTATGGCATGGGGGTTTGAGATGGGGTTCCAGTATATTGCCCAAGCTGGTCTCAAACTTTTGGGATCAAGTAGTCTTTATGCTCCAGCCTCCTGAGTGGTAGGACTACAGATACATGGCACTGTCCCCAGCTTAAAAATTAATTTTTTTTTATGTAGCTCTGAAGTTGTGAGTTCTGGGGTTGTGAGTGTTCCTTGCCATTTCTTTCCATCACCTTGCCATTCACACAAGGAGGCCTTCAGTCTGTCTGTTCTGTTGGAGCCCATTGTCTTGTCTCTTCTCCAGTAACATTTTCTTCCTTCCCACCTTCCCTGTGTCCAGTCTGCAAACTATCGTAGGGATGAAGCAAACTAAAACACAGTTCTGAGTATTTCACTCACAAATTCATTGTGATTCCTGTCTACTTACAGTGTAAAATCAGATGCATTCATGGATACCTGAGGTTTACCACTGTCAGGGCATTTACCAGATACTTTAGGTTCCTTTCAAGCCTGGGACATGCCACATGTACTGTATGTAGTCTCCTCTCCACTGCCTGACGAGTTCTTCACTTAACTCTCCCCTGCAGAGATTTCCTTCTTCAGTCAGATAGTGCTTTTTATGCCTGCCTTTCATGACTCCCCTGCTGTAACATCCTGAGGGAGATCCTCACTCATTTTTTAATTCTGTGTGCCAGGTAAACTAGTGAGTCATGGTGAAATGGGGTAAGAAGACTGCGATTTTTTAAAATCCAAGGGTAATATCCACCACCTGCCTTGCAAGCAGTTTGATCCCCAATACCAAAAAGAAAACAAGAGTAAAAGGAAAAATTATAAAAACAGCTCTCTACATTTTATGCTTATGATTTTCTTTAAAGTGAAGATGCATATTATTTTGACCACTTTTTAAACAATCTCTTTCCTAGTTGTATGAAGCGTGTCGGTACCTTGCAGCCAGATGTCATGTAAGTTGCCCAGTTCCATTTATTTGGTGGAAGCTTGATTATGTGAGTGTTATCCATTCCTCAGGTATGTGTGAGAGTTTTGGTGATGAGCTTGGCAGGTTAGTATAGTATTACATGAGGAAATCTTCTTTTCTTTAGTTTGTTTGCTATAAAATACTGATTGATCTGAAGAAAATTGTATTTTAGATTTAGGTAATGGATATAATGTTAATTACCCTTTTAATATCTAGAAGTCATGGATGATGAGTATTTATTTTCTACGTAGTATGCTGCAAAAGAGTATCAGCAGGCTCTTGATATTCTTGATATGGAGGAACCAATCAACAAAAGACTATTTGAAAAATACCTGAAGGATGAAAGCAGCTTGAAAGACTCCTCCAGTGACTGGGAAATGTCACAGTCCTCAGTGAGTCATTTTTTTTTTTTGGTACCGGGGATCGAACTTGGGTCCTTGCGCTTGCGCAGCAGGTGGGGAAACCACTGAGCTAAATCCCCGGCCCAGTGAGTCATATTGTTAGCATGCTTCAGTAACAGCAGTAGAGAATGCCCATGTTACATGGCAAAAATAAATTACCTTTTAAACTTGAGTGTTATGTTTTAATATAGCATCTCCTTAATAATTGTAACTGCTTGTTTCTGGACACGTTTTAACTCAGTTATGTGTTTCTTAGATTCAGGGTCTAGAATGTAAATCTAGCCCATATCTTGTTGTTAATGGTGATAAGTGAGTTGAGATAGTCATAGCTCCAGGCCTTACCAAGTTCTATAAGTAAAATAGTATTTTTACAAGTAAGGAAAGGAAACTAAGGCCAAGACAATTTAAATCATTGTCCAAGGTCATACTTAAGTGGAAGGGCTAGAATTTGAACTCAGTTCTGTGGCTCCAGCAGGCCATTCTCCTGACCTCTGATCACAGGCTCCCTTGCTCCTGACCTTTGACCACAGGTCACTAGTACTCAGGCCTCTCTCATGGGTCTGTGCCCCATACTCTTTGTCCTACACATGCACCTCTACTATCTCTAAATCATTGCTTTTTGGAGGCAAAAGAAGTAATGCATCTGGTAGCCATAGGATGTACATTAGCTATAAAGACTCATTGGAATAAGAGCCTGGGGAAGATAGCCTAAAGAATTGCTTTGCTTTCATGTCTGTGTTAATTCATACTATGCTTTGATAGTTGAGATGAACCAGATCCTTGTAGACATAGTAAATACATAGTAGCGTTTGATCAAAATTAAGTTTAAAAGTTCAGACTTAGTATGTGACTCCTCTAATTTTTCCAACAGATAAAGAGTTCTATTTGTCTTCTACGAGGGAAAATCTATGATGCTCTAGATAACCGAACCCTAGCTACCTACAGTTATAAAGAGGCTTTAAAGCTTGATGTCTACTGTTTTGAAGCATTTGATCTTTTAACATCACATCACATGTTGACAGCACAAGAAGGTTTGAAAACTCAGGTGTTTTTATGTTTAGCACACTCAGTATTGTTTGGACTTTTTCTTTGAGGTTGTACAGTCAAGAGTAACCTGTAGGTTTGAATAGACCTACTACCTTTCTTGTCTTCAAATAGAAAGCATAGTGCAAAACTCAATATCATGCAGTGCCTTTTGCTCCCATAATCTTTAGTGATTATAGGGTCATGAGATCATCTTTTTGAGAAGGAGTTGGAGGTAGTATAAACCAAGATTTCAATATCAGATTCAGTGATTCTCAACATGGCTGTACTTTGAATCCCTGAGGAGCTTTGTCAGTGTAGCTGGGTATGGTGGCATGCCTGTAATCCTAGCACTGGGGAGGCTGAGCCAGGAGGATCACCACAAGTTCAAGGCCAACATGGCCCACATAGTGAGTTCAAGGTCAGTCTGAGCTACATAGCAGGACCTTGTCTCAAAAAAACAATAGACAGTAGTATATACTTACAGTCTCAGCTACTCAAGAGACAGGAAGATCACAAGTTCAAGGCCAATCTGGACACTGTAGCAAGAACCTTTCTCAGTAGTGGAAGGGGTAAGGATGTACAAGGCACAATCAGTGGTAGAGCATTTGGCTAGTATCCGTGAGAAGCTGGGTTTAGTCCCCAGCACGCCCCACCTCCCACGCCAACCTCCACACACAAAATCAGTGTCCAAGTCCCAACTTCCAGCCAGTCTAAAGTCTCTGAGGTAGGGTGCTGACATCAGATGGTTTAAAGCTCCCAGTTGAGCCTGACATACCACAGGGACAGAGCTGCTGATGTGTGTTGGTGGTGATGCAAGGTGTTTAATTATAAGATCAGGAAGAAAATTGGATTGCTGTGGTAATTTGATTCAAACATTTCAGCATAGCACAGTAGTTCTTGATCATTGGGGTCATTTGCAATGCCTGAGATGGGGTGTATAATTTGAGGGCAGGGAGATGGTCAGAGATTGCTACTGGCATGTAGCAGGTAGAGGCCAGAGACCCTGCTGGTCACTTTGCAGTTCGTGGTCCACACAGCATCAGTGATGTTCACACCTGTGGGCCTCTGTCTGGCTGATGACAGGAACTTCCCGGAGGCCTCCTTCAGGTGATTTGAGTCTCTGAGGTCTGCAGACCACTAATGTGAGCTTTCTCTAGCACTGTTTGTTTTGAGTTGAGTTGATTTACTTACACCAACTGTACAAGGATATTTTTAATTGCTGACTTTTTTTTCCCCAAGAAATATTTTGACATTCTTTTTTTGTTGTTGTTTGTTTCTCATCTTTTTTAAGAAAAAGAACTTCTTGAGTCACTACCTCTTAGCAAGCTCTGTACTGAAGAACAGGAATTACTACGTTTTCTGTTTGAGAACAAATTAAAAAAGGTAAGCAGAAACTCAGCATTTGCTTTATATAAATATCTCATTTATTCCATTAAATTTTGCCTTTATTTCTTTATTAAATTTTTTTAAATGAGAGATTTTATTAACCAGGCACACTTGCAAGAATAGATTATTTTAAATCCCTATGATTCCTAAAAAAGCTTCTGAAAGAGTTTCCATCTTCTCAAGAAATCCTTATACTAAAAGATTGAATTATCAAATAAGTGGGATGGGGTTGTGTGAAAATCAGAAGTTTTCCTCCTGCTTCCTGAGCTTCTGTGTGAAATATTTCTTACCGTGGAATTCTGTGATGAAACTGAGACAAGGTTAAACTGAATGAGGGGAGCACCAGTGAAACTTGAAATTTAAAGGTTGTCAAGGACTCATGTGTTCTGTCTATGTGTGTTAACCACCGGGTCGAACATAGATTGAGTCTGCCTTTGGATATGTTGCTGCTCATTGAGTTTATGTTTAAATTTCTCTGTGTTTCAGTATAATAAGCCTAGTGAAACTGTCATCCCTGAGTCTGTAGATGGCTTGCAAGAGAATCTGGATGTGGTAGTATCGTTAGCTGAAAGACATTATTATAACTGTGATTTTAAGATGTGCTACAAGCTTACATCTGCGTACGTATATCCTGCCATTTTTGTGTGGTAACATGGGGTTCAGACCACACCTGTGCAATTAATTCATAGACATGTTCTCTGAGTAATCTTGAAGTAGTTGGTGATAGTTTAAGTTACTTCTACCATTTACAGAGAACCAAACAGGTTGCTGTCTTATGAAAGCTGTTTACAGGCACAAGTTATGTGTAGGTGTATTATGGTAACTGGGAAGAGAGATAACATGTCCGTGTTGATAATTTTGATAGTTTGAAAACAGCATTTTAGCAGTAGTTTTATAAAGTTCTTTGTTTATTAGAGACTGGACTGAGGATGTAACTCAGAATAATTACCTACTGGTGGCACACATGAGACCCTGGGTTTGATCCTCCCCAGCACCACACACACAAAAAAAGTAGAAACTAATATGCCCATCTAGCATACTCTCAGCTAAACTGTCTCTTCTACACACAAGCTTTCCAGGGTATCTTATCAGACTTGTCCTTTAGCTAAATTAGATATTCTATGTTTTTGTGAATAGTTATGATGAGTGCTGTCACATACTGTTTTCAGGCTAGTAAGCTGTTTTACTTTAACTTTCAGAGTAATGGAAAAAGATCCTTTCCATGCAAATTGTTTACCTGTACACATAGGAACGCTTGTGGAGCTGAATAAAGCAAATGGTAAGAATTTTCTTTTTAATTAAAATACTTCAGACAGGAAATTCCGTAACTCTTGAAACTTTGTCTCACAAATCATGGACAGTTGAGACTGAAGTGACAGCATGGTGGAGCCCTGTGACAGAAGTAAGGATTGGGGAAGAAAGGGTTAATGGAGTGATCAAAGCCTGCTTTGCCTTCCTGACAGAACAATGCATATCTGGGCCCCTGCTTCCTCTTTCTTTTTTTTTTTTTTGTTATCCTGTATTGAACTCAGATCCTTTTGCTTTTGGGGAAGGCAGTGGAACCACTGAGCTAAATCCCTGGCCCTCCTCTTTTTATCAAATGTAATTTGTGGTTTAGAGTGTTGGGTGTGGATTTTGACTTTTTCCTCCTTTGTTTTTGTAAATTCCTTAAGAAAATGCATATAGCAGGAGTCAGTAACTACAATATTTACAAATAGGAAGAGAGCAGATTGTTTGGGTTTCTACATTTTAATATTTCAGAAACATTTAGCTGTGTTTGGGCCAGTATTTGCCCTTAAATCTTATAAAACTGAACAGTGAACTCTTATCAGGATGCTAGAAAATTCATAACTACTCCAGCTCCAAACTCCTGGTGCTCTCTGGCATGTGGACCAGTAGCATTGCATCTCCTGGAAACTGCTTGGAGATGCAGTGTATCCAGCTGCCCCAGACTACTGCATCTTGGAGTGTGCATGTATTATATACTGTCACAAAATGCTAGGACTTAACACATATTTCTCAAGAAGAAATTCAGTGTCTGATCATCTTGAAAGTTTTGGTGACCAGTTTGGTTGCGGGTGGCTAAGATGGTCTATCCTGGGTATATATCATAAGGCTGTAGATTTCTAAGTTGGGAGCTTTGCAGGAACCTCTGCCACACCCAAAGTGCTTTGTCCAGGGGATCCATTCCCTTGTGGTCTGCCATGTGCCCTTCATTCAGTTTTCTGTTCACTTAGCAAGTGCTCAGTGCCTCCTGTGGATCTGGAGAGGGTGTATCTGTCAGATGGGATTTTTATACTTTATGAGCTAAGTGGGAAGGGAGATATGAGGTTGTTGCTTTGAAAACAGGTTTTGTTTTGCTGGAAGGGTTGAAACTAGGGAGAGGGTCCAATCTTAAATTGTATTTCATATGAATAATTGAATTCTTTTTTTCTTTTACTGTAATATAGAGCTTTTCTATCTTTCTCACAAACTGGTGGATTTATATCCTAGTAATCCTGTAAGTAATATAAATCTCTTTTTTCTCACTTGAACTTTAAGAAAATAAAAACTAGGGCCAGGGATTTAGTTTAGTGGTGCCGCTGCCTGCCTCACAAGCACAAGGTCCTGAGTTAGATCCCAGGTACCAAAAACAAAAAAAGAAAGAAAATACTTAACTAGTACTGTATTTAGACACTAGATTATATTTAATTTCAAGCAAATAGTGTTTTAAAGTAACAGGACACAATGTCTTTTAGTGTTTAAGATATTAGAAGGCAGCATTACTTCTTTATTCCATGAAGGTGTTTTAAAATTAGATAGTAGTAGTAACTTAAACTAGAAACGTTTATTTTCTGATTAGAGAAGTATTCATGCTTATCATTTTAAGCTATTCATCATACAAAATATAAAGTACTGACAGTGACAGACACACTCTACCATTTGTAAGGAATTAATCATGATGGCTTTCTCACATCGCAAGTGTAAGACCACATACTGAGTTGTATGTACTGATTGAATCAGTGTGTCTTCCAGCCTGCTGTGGGTCAGAATGTAGATCTAGGAATGGAAAACAGAATTAGTAGCTGTACCCTCAAGGCAGAACCCAAAAATCTAGGTCTAAGTGTCAGGCCAAACAAGGATTTGCCTCTAGCCCACTGTGAAACCACTGCAGAAGAGGCTTGCCAAAAGTCAGAGCCCAGCAGAGCAAGGGAGAGCTGTGGCCAGGCCGAGATGCACAGGTATTCATGGGTGCCTGTCTGGTAGCCACCTTGGGAAAGAGTCGAGTATCTCTTCTCATCTAGCCTCTGAGTAGGTTGTCGCAGAAAGAGTTTTAATTCAGACTAAAATATATGACTTGGGAACATCTGATGTACCCTCTATCTAGCTTGTTAGATTTTCCAGTTCAAATTTAAGCATATTGGTCATGGTAAATATTGAACTTTTTAGGTGTCTTGGTTTGCAGTGGGATGTTATTATCTCATGGTTGGTCATAAAAATGAACATGCCAGAAGATATCTCAGGTATGAATTTGTTTTTCTTCCTCCATAGGGAACCTATAGGAAGGGATTTCTTGCTCAAATATCTCAGTGCACCCAAAATAAGATACTTTTTAAATAGTGTAAAAGAATAAGTGTTTTCTGTGACAGATTTGGTTCAGTTACCTGTGTGCCTTGCTCTTCATAAGATGCCATAAGGGGAGATTAATCAGTGGTATGCACCTCATTCTAAAGGAGTGTAGATGTTTTTTGTTTTACTCATAAATGAGAATAAATAGGAAACAAAAAAATATATTTTGAAAGATTCTGTTCTTTTACAAAGATATGATTAACCTTTACATTTAGGGCTTTTGCTAATAGTTGTAAAATTACATAGAACTTTACATGATGTTAAGGCTACTGAATGTGACTATAAAACAATCCTTGGCAGAGTACATAGGTTCCTGTAAGAACCCGCGGTGGTTTTACATTAAGGAAAGTCATGCCATTCAGTCAAGCTACTTAACCGCTGTTTTGCAAGTGTAGAGAAATGTCTAGGATATGAAGAATTAAGTACTTAAAGACTTTAAATGCAGTAATACCTGTGCTAATAAAAGAGAAAATGGTTTATAAGGGTAAAAGGATGAACCCTGGAGTCAGATTTGAATTCTTATCCAAGTCCTTTAATTTACCAGCTATAATTCTTTGAGAAGGTTAATTTCTCTGACTCTCTCCTTTAAAAATGAAGGTGATATAGTACTTGTATCCCAGAATTGTTAGAAGAGTTGATGACACAAAAGGGCCTTAATCCCAGAAAGGAAATAAGAAGACCTCTGTAGTTGGTTGTGTGTTCAGCACTTTAGAAAAGCTTGTGAGTAGGAAAATGATTAGTATTGTAGCCATGCTTTTGAACTGTGCTCCTTTTAGTCTGTGATTCAGTGGACTCTACCTGAAACATGGAACCTTTGGATGAAAGCTGAGAAAATAAAATGCTAGGAAGAAGAAGAGCACCTTTTATGTTTTTCATATTTTGTGCTATATTCTCTGTAATCCTTGTTGTGTATTAGCCATTAGTGTCTACTGATTGAAGCTTAATTATATGTAGTCTAATCTGGGGAACTAGGATGACTGTCCTACCACCACCCTTTGAATGTCTCTTATCTCTTAAGCCTTGGTATGCTTGTCTTTAATATGTACTTAATTTATTTTGCAAGTTGTTAGGATGAGATCATAAGGCACCCAACCTGATGCCTGGCACAGAGCAGCCATCAATAAGTGGCTGTTGCTACCACCACTGGTTGTTGCCTGCTCAGATAAATAATAATTTGTGAGTTTATGCAGAATGTTAATGGGTTCACTCTAGTACCGAAAAAGGTGTAGACCTCTCCTAAAGTTTATTAAAATGTTGCTTGTATTGCTAAGTATTTAGTTCATATGCATTAACACAGATGTTATATTAGTGTTTAATGTGTTAACAGTTCATTTATTGAGCTAATGTTATTAATAAATGTGTTTGAAGCCATCTGCTTATATAAAATTAACAGTTTAAGAGTAAATATATTACTTGAAGGAATGCTTTTGTTTTAGCAAAGCTACCACACTGGAGAAGACCTACGGACCTGCTTGGATAGCCTATGGGCATTCGTTTGCTGTTGAGAGTGAGCATGACCAGGCCATGGCTGCCTACTTCACAGCAGCACAGCTAATGAAAGGGTATGACAGAGCAAACTGAGTGAATGCATAAGAGGGTTCAGTTTTTGGTTGTTTGGTTTTTTCTCCTCTAAGAGAATGAAATGAAAGTACTGTTACTGTCATTTGGTTGCTAAACTAAACAAAACCATTCTACTTACTTAAAATAACTATGAAAATGGAGGGAGAAAGAAGTTGAGTTGAATTTTTCTCAGTGCAGAAGGAGCTATGGAATTATGCCCAAGGGAAGAGATGAGATAACTGTACCCTGAGAGTATAATTCTTTGATGAGTAGATTTGTACCAGATTCTTTGGCTTCGTATTGGTTATTCATTACAGAATTCTTTTATGTGGATAAATCCCACTGACTAATGACTCCATCCCTGTGGGGGTGTTGGGAATGTGATGGTCCCTGGGGTTTGACTGCATTTGAGCTGCCTGCACTTGGCTCTTCCACTCAGTGCTGTGTGATCTTAGGAAAATTACTTATCCTTTTGAAAAATAGGGATAATAGTATAACTTACTGGTTTATTGTGAGGAGTATTCAGTAATACCAATTAAAGACTTTGAACAGTGTCTTACACATAAAAGGTACTCAATAAAATTTAGCTACTCTTATTTACTGGTAGAATTTAGGGGTAGTGCCAAATATTTATCTGTCTTGAATTTCATCTTATTAGGTTGATCTGCCTTTTCCTACTGTCAGACTCTTTGGCATTCAATTCTGCATGCAAATTATTTATCAAATCAGCTTTTTATAGTCATTAGCTTTGATAGGTATGTCTCATATCTAGCTAGTCATCTGTGGAAATACTGGGAAGGACATGACTTACTGTGTTAGTCAGCTTGAGTTGCCATAACAAAATATCACACAGTAGGTAATTTAAACAACAAAAAATTTATTTTCTTATGGCTGTGGAAGGCTGGAAGTTCAAGGTCAAGGTGCTAGCAGCTCCTGGCTTGCAGGTGGCAGCTTCTCATTGTGTCTTCTCATAGCAGAGAACACTGGGTCTTCCTTCTACAAAGACCCTCGCTATTCGAGTAAGGGCCTACTCAGGACCTCGTGTAACTTTTACCACCCTTCACAGGCCCTGTCTCCAAATACAATCACAGTGGGGGTTAGGCTTAATGCATGAATTTGAGAAGGCCCTATTCATTCATTCCAGAGCACTAACCGTGCTTCTGGAAATCATCTTCTGTGTTGCAATTATTCAGCACATTGTTGATCACATAAATGGCCTTCATGCTTAGTCCAGGCTCTCCATCCTGTTTGCAAAGATGTACGAGACCTTCTCCAGTCTGCAGAAGCTCAGGCCTGCTGTCTGCCTATTTCCATTATCAACTTGATAAATTAGCAGCAAAAAATTTTCAGTAATTTATTATGAGTTTTTTTCTTAGGAATACATGCTAAGGCATGGTATCTTTTGATACTCTGGGTGCTAGAAATAGTAGTTACTAGTAAGTTCCTAGCTAGCAATCAAAGTCAGTATCTAGTGTTTTCCAGTCTTAACAAACTTTGTTGTTAAATTCTCACATCAAGATAAGCACTAAATTTCATTTCCCCATCAGAACAGCCTTATATTCTTTTATTTATTTATTTTTGGTACTGGGAATCGAACTCGGGACCTTGCGCTTGCGCAGCAGGCAGCGAAACCACTGAGCTAAATCCCCGACCCTATATTCTTTTAATTTTCCTGTTTAGGTAACTAACTCTTTAAAATTAGATAAATATTTTTAAGTTTCCTTTATGATTTTTTTTCTTTGAACTATTTAAGAATATGTTTAATTTCCACAAGTTTGTGACTTTCCTATGTTTACTTGTAGTTTTGATTTCTCACTCGATTCTCTTGTGGCTGGAGAACATGAGCTCCTTGTAGGACCTCAGTTCTTTACTATAAGCTCGCATAGGGCCTGTTTCAGAGATTGCTTCATACACACTTAGGAACTGCCGATATAGGGTGCAGTGTTCTGTAGACCTCTATTAAGTTTCATCTTCTGAGTGTCACTGAAGCCTCCATTTCCTTCTTGCTCTTCTACCCAGTTTCTCTGTCCTTTATTGCAAGTGAAGCATTGAAATTTCAGCTCTTATTGTCTGTTTCTTCCTCTATTCTGGCAATTCTTGCTTCATGTTTTCTGAACCCCTTCTGTTAGATACTTGATAATCATGAATACTCTTCATAGATTGAGCTTTTCTTGCCTCTATTAAAAGCTCCTTTTCTTTTTAACAGCGTTTTCTGAATGAAAATACTTTATCTAAATCACACCAGTTCCCCTTTGTTTTCCTAGTATCTTTTTCCATCTGTGTTAGTCGGCTTTCTAGTACTTTAACAAATTACTAAGAAAATTAACTTAATGGAGAAAGATTTATTTGGGCTTCCAGTGTCTGAGGTTTCAGTCCATGGTCATGTAGCTCCATTATTTCTAGGCCATGGTGCGGCAGAGCATCACTGTGGAGGGGGCTTGGTTGAGCAGAGCTGCTTATGTCCTGGGATCCAGGAAGCAGAGAGAAAGAAAGAGTGTGGGAGCAGCAGGGAACAAGATTTAGCCCCTAAATCTTGCCTTCAAGAACCCATTTCTTTCAGCTTGGCCCTGCCTTTTAAACTTCCATCACCTCCCAGGAGCCTATCTGATTAGGAACCCATAAGCGGCTAATCTGTTGATGAGGTCAGAGCCCTCCTGAACCGCCTCTGAACACTGCTGCACTGGGGGCAGCCTTGCAGCACAGTGAGCTTTGGGAGACATTCCAGATACAAACCCGAACAGCATCCTTTAATTCCAACCTGCTTGTGTCTTTGGGCATACAGTGCACCTTCTATAGACAACATACAGTTAGGTCATGTTTTTAATCCAGTCTTTGTCTTTTCATTGGTTTGTATATTCTATTGGCATTTAGTATAGTTATCGATAAAGTAGGATTTATGCATGCCATTTTGTTCCTTGTTTTGTGTATTTCATGATTTTTTTGTTCTGTTTCTCCATTACTGACTTGTGTTAAATAAATGTTTTATAGTAAAACTATTTTAGTCACCTTTTTCTACATCTGGTATCTATCTATATACACACACACAAACATACACACTTTTTTTTTCTTAGTGGTTATCTTGGGGATGATAATCAGCAGCTTAAACAATCTAATTTTTATTAAAACCAACTTAATCTCAATAGTATACTAAAACATTACCCCAGTTTAGATCTATTCCCTCCTGCTTCCTTTCTGCCATTATTTTTCATACGTTTCATCTTATACATTATATATCCATCAACACAGATTTATAATTATTGTTTTACTCAATTGTCTTTAATCAGAAGAAAAGAATTGCAAACAAAAATATGCTATTATACTGTTTTATATTTTCCAATGTAGTGTACTGGACACATTTCTTTGTTTGGATTTAAGTTACTATCTAGTGTCTGTTCATTTTAGCCTGGAGGACTCTATTTCTTGTTCAGCAAGTCTCCTACTGAGGGCTTTCAGTTATCTATCATCATATTGATTACTTACTGATTCTTTCTCCTACCTGTTCAAATCTGCTTTTTTAAGCCCTTCTAGTGAATGTTGTATTTCTTCATTGTACTTTTCAACTCCAGAATTGCAATTTGGCCCTTTTTAATAATTTCTTTCTCCTTATTATTCTCTGGTGAAGCATTCTTTTTATACTTTAATTTTGTACACATAGTTCTTAAAATATTTAATATAGTTTATTTGAGGTACTTGTCTTTTAGGCCCAACATCTGGGCTTCTTCCACAAGTTTCTTTTGCCTTTGTTTCCCTATGTATGGGCCATATTTTCTTTTTCTTTGCCTTTCTCTTTATTTTTGTTGAATGTAATATAACGTGGCATTTCTGGAAATTAGATTCCCTGTCTACCCCAGGATTTGTTGTAGTGAGTTCAGAACCCATTCTGTAGTCTGATCCCTTTCTACCTACGAGAGGATACTCTTTCAGCATGCTGCTATTGACCACCTGCCTTAGCTTTCACTTGGTTTGTGCACAGAGCCTTGAGGTCAGAGATGAGAGATTCAGCCTCTGTAGTGCTTTCCAGCGCATGCATGTAGCCCTAGAGGGTAGTGCCTTCTGGATCCCCAGGATTGTGTACTCAAGGGCCCGAGGGCCATGTTACTCCTCAGGTTTTCTTTAAGGTTTTGGCTAGCACTTGGTTTGCCTCAGGCAGCTGCGGTGATAAATAATGCTGCTGGTTTCAAAAAGTGTGGCAGAGATAGATCTTTTCTCGCTGAGAGAGCTCTGAGGTCAAATCAAAGAGGATAGGAGAAGCCTTTTCCAGGGCTGCAGAGCAGATCACAGGTAACAGCCCTTTGCAGTGCTGCAGGGGCCTCCACATTCCTGCTCCCTCCAATGGCAACTGGGTTAAGGGCTGCATAGCTGCTGCCCTTGTTAAAGGGGCTGTAAGTAAAGAAGGAGGGCACAGGACATGTCAGGGCACCACAAATTTGCTGTGCTTACCTACACCTAGGTGTTTTCTTGAACATACACTGGGCCCTGGTTTAACTCCCGAAGTTCTGAAAAAATTGATTTTGATAACATTTGCCACTGTTCTTGTTGCTTTTATGGATAGATTCTAGAAGTGGCAACTAATTAGTCTAAAATCCCATTAGTCATTTGTTAATTATTAGTTAAGAGAAAAAAGTAAATGTTGTGTTTTTGGCTATCTTTAAATTATTTTGCAGATAAGATCCGAAGTTAATCAAATTTCTGCTGAATTACCAACTTTTTGGTATTGAATATACAAAATTTCCAATGTTTTTAGGTGTCATCTGCCGATGCTATATATTGGATTAGAATATGGTTTGACCAATAACTCAAAACTGGCTGAAAGATTCTTTGGTCAGGCTCTGAGCATCGCACCAGAAGACCCTTTTGTCATCCACGAGGTTGGTGTGGTTGCCTTTCAGAATGGAGAGTGAGTATCCAAGGTCTCAGCTCCTGTTGACTGTGAGTGTCTCCTCCCTCACCAGAGTTCAGTTGACCAAAGTGACCCTGTAGCATCTTTATTTTTAAATGTATTATTTTTGGAGATAGAAGAGAAAAAGACGTTCTCCTCTTGGATTTCCTTATAACCCAAAACCCATGCTTTGGTTTTCCTTGATCTTGGCTGCTGCAAGTTTTATACCTCAGTGTGGCCTGGAGGTTTTACGATCCTTAGTTGCCTCTGTTAGTTAGGGTTAAACACAACACTTGAGAAGGTTTTCCCACAATTTTTGAAACTAGTAAAGCAGAAAATTAAGCTAGTTAGAATCACCCAGTCTCTGGTGTCCAGGTCAGTTGAGCCTTTTCTGTTACCTTTGATATTTGTAAATTAAGTGATTCCATGTCATACTCAAAAATAACAGTATCTAATTCTTTGCATTAGGTTATACCTAAATTTAAAAACAGTAAATTAGTGTTTCAGTGTTCTTTGGCATGTGGGGTTGTCTAGGTATTTATCAAAAAGAAAGTTTGAAGTTTTAAAAATACATACTGATTTAATGCAGCCCCTTCTCCATATCTGCAAGTTCTATAGCTATGCAATGGCCTACACACTAAGATTTTCTTGTCACCCTAAAACTGGTACTCAGGATGCCTTCAGTATTCTCATACGTGCACCAGTGGAAAGACTGGATCCCCTGAACCTCGAACAAGGCCACACTCGGCTCTCACTGTGAATGGGTGTCTGTTTAGTGCCATATTTTCACATTTTTGTTGGTGACTTCATATTTAAAGTAATCCCCAAGCTTAGTGCTGTCTGGTTGGCAGCACTAGAACCTGTGATGTTCTCCCCAGGGAGATGGTGTCAGATGAGCTTCATTTAGATGAGCAGCTATGCTGTTGGCCTCGAGCTCAGTGTCAGTGAGTCAGCAATGCATGTTAAACAAGGTGACTAACAGAAGCACACATGAAACAAGTTTATTCATGGTCAGTTGATGAAGCATTGTGATCAGAGGTTTGCAGAAACCTAAATACCATAAATCATGAGAATCAAGTCTCCTAAATCCTGAGCTCGTATAGTATTAATACCATAAGATTAACCATTTATCTAACTTAATTTTAATTTGAATCATTTATTCTCAGTGGGTTACCCCATTTAATTTTAGTGCTATGAGAAAAAGATAACTCAGATTTTTCTTCAAATGTTTAAGCTTGCTAATTTTGAATAACCTACAACCTTTCTTCCCCCCTCTATTTTTAGATGGAAAACAGCAGAAAAATGGTTTCTCGATGCTTTGGAAAAAATTAAAGCAATTGGAAATGAGGTATTCTATGTAATATCTGTAAATGCATGCATACATACCTCTAAGCATATTTACTATCAAATGAGGAAAATAGTGGAGACATAGTCTCTGTTACTTAGAGAATAACCTAACATATGTCATAATAAATGGCTTGGTGATGTAAAATTCTTAGGTAATTAACTGTTGTAGCGCATGGCAAAAATGAGTTTGTTTCTGATTAAGGGACAGATGTTGGGTGTTTGCTTCTTTTTTCTTTTTTTTTTTCCTTTTGGTATGGGGATCGAACTTGGGACCTTGGGCTTGCAAGGCATGTGGCGGAACCACTGAGCTAAATCCCTGGCCCAGGTGTTTGCTTCTTAACAGGACCCTAGCTGGGTCACATGGGAGCAGTCAGAATATATAAGATGATGATTTGGAGCTGGACATGTGGGATGGTCAGTAGACCTTGGTGGGAACTGCAGCTTCTAACAAGTACTTCTCTAGACCCTTTAGGAGCCTGATGTTTTCCTGAAGGGTGCCTCTAGTTTAGAAGCAGATACACTCCCATGGCAGCAGCTGTCTTTGGAATTTAGACCTTTGTCGCTGTCTCTTACTGTGTGCTGTGTATTTATACCTTTGCATATTTGAAGTATTTGGTTAGGTTCTGGTGTATGAAAGGTGCACCTCATGAATTGATGCTATGACACGAATTCCAACTAGCTAGGATCTGTATGTGCTGGGATTATTTTAAAGTAGTAACAGTTTAGACATAGACTTGTATAGGTAAGTGATTTGCATGTTGCTATTCTTCTGGTTTCCCGGTCTTTCGTCCATACCTATCTTGATTTATTCTGTTCTGATTTTCACATCCCAGTATCACATGTGCCCATAGGCACTCTTCTTCCTTGTGTTGTCAGTCACCTGTGACAGATACAGCTCTGCAGGCCCCCTGCAGTGGCAATCTGCCTGAACCCATAGACTCAGCTTTACTCTCTTTGGTCTCTTATTGTTTGTCATCTAAACTTATTTCTGTGCATTTGCATGTGGATGTATATAAAACCAGGCTCTTCCTCATCTGAGTCTTGGGTGGTTCTGAATGACCCTAGTGTTTTTCTTCAGTCTGGCCTACCAGCTGAAACCTAGTTAGAAGTGCAGACCCTCAGGTCTGTTGAATTCAAATGGCTGCATGGAAAGTTTGAGGAGCATGCTCCTGAACCACAAGTAAAATTGGAACTATATTCTTTCATTCATTCAGAGTCACTTCAGTCTCACAGAAATTTAAAATAATGGTTTTAAGTATGAAAGTACAACGTTGTTGAACTATCACAGTGCTATTAAAAGTTGTATGAAAGGAAAATATTATGTGACCTTAGTTATAAAGTATAGTAGTTGTCAAAATAGCCAAAGAGAAGCAGTAATGCCTAAGAACCACTGAAAGATTTATTTTTATTTAATGGGCTGTTTTCCTAGGGCCAATCTCAGTGGAAGTTAGAAAAAGTGGCTTGGGTTTCTTTGTTCGTTTAGCTGATTGGCCATATCCTAGGCTCTTAGCTAGGCATTGGATACCACAGAAACTAGTTTGATTTTTTTTTGTCCTCAGATCTGTTGAGGAATGCAAATAAGTAAATTGACAGTAATAAAACCTTGTGATTGAAGAAATAAAGGCACCATCCACATAAGAGGGTAGTGGTTCACCCAGACATGAAGGTGGTTAGGCTTTTGGTTATGTCATACATCTCAGTCTTGAGGGTGTTCGGATATCAGTGAGGCAGAAATGAAGTAGAAGGGTGTTTCAGGTGTAGAGAATGACATGTGGCAAGGTGAAAGCTGATTTAGTGTGGCTTGAGTTTTGAGGTCACAGAGAATGTCAAGAAGTGGGACAGGAAGGTTCAGTGTGGGTCATTAATGACCTTGAAAACTTTAACAGAGAGTTTGCACCTTATCCTGGGAATGTGGGCAGATGAGGGGTTTCCAAAGGGGTCATCCTGGTCAGGCTCTTGTAGGATGGAAGCCTAAGCCAACGGGAAGCTAAGGACTTCTTGGTTGGAGTTATGCCCAGCAGGTAGAATGAACAAGCCCTGGGTAGTCTTAGAGGGTCAGAATGACCTGGTTCCCATTGACTGCCTCGTGGGGCACCCAGAGAACAAGATGAGGGAGCTGGAATGCCCAGAGATGAGTTGGTATAGCATGTTGAATGTAAAGTACTTGAAACATTTTTAAGTAGATGGATGGATATAGAGATGTGGTGTTTCAAAGAGAATCTGGGCTACAGGTGCACAATTTAAACTCTTTCAGCATAGATGGGCTCTTTTCCAGAATTATAATTGCGGTAGAGTTCTCAAGAAATCTCTTCTAATAGGAAAGAAAGATGGTTATACCAGCAAATGCCCTTGGCCTGTGCTATGGTAGAGGCATCCGTCAGGAAGGGAGTGCAGAGACCTTCTAGCTGCAGAGGCATGAAATGATGCAGTGCAAACAAACCAAGCTGAACAGTGACATGTGTAACTTGTGGGCTTGATGTTGCTATGTTTTAGGTAACAGTTGACAAATGGGAACCTTTGTTGAACAACTTGGGGCATGTCTGCAGAAAACTTAAGTAAGTAAAACAGCATTTTCAGAAATACACTTTTGGAAATGTACTAAAACTTTACTTAATTTTGAACAGCCTTTGCCATATTTTTATTTCATGAGATCCTGCAGCTTTCTTCTACTTGGCTGCTCACATGCAACAAGCATCAAAATGAATGTTTTGTTATTTATTTCCATTTGCTTAATTTTATTTTAGAAACATTATGTGGCAGCTTCTTTTAATATTAAAAATAATTTTAGTGTTCCAAATTAATTCAGAAGAATCAGGACAATAAGATCTAATTTAAATAATGTATATATTCTAACTGTTGCTTGAGAGATTTATGGTGTAGTGAACAAATGACAAGTAAAAAGTTACTGTGGTAGGGCTGGGGATTTAGCTCAGTGGTTTTGCCGTGTGCTGCGCAAGCACAAGGACCTGAATTTAATCCCCAGTACCAAAAAAAAAAAAGTTACTGTGGTGGGGCCAGGGATTTAGCTCAGCAGCACTGCGCCTGCCTTGCATGCACAAGGTCCTGAGTTCGATCCCCAGTACCAAAACAAAACCCCCAAAAAAGTCACTGTGGTATTTATATATAATGGAGTACTACTCTGCCATAAAGAAGGATAAACTTGAGTCATTTGAAGGAAAATGGAGACACTTTGAGACCATAAGGTTAAATGAAATAAGACACACAAGATTAAATATTGCATGGTTCCTCTTACATGAGAAAACCAAAACATAAATAAAGAGCAAAATAAAGGACCGATAATAGGAAGTAGGGAGTTAGCTCTTTCTTAAATGGGAAGGGAATTAAGGGGGGGGATGTATTAGAAACATGTACTAATAAAGTCTTGGAAAGTCTAGATGAGTCAAGGTTTAATTAAATTTTCTATTGCAGGATTTCTTTGAGTCTTTACTTTGCATTGTGAGTTGTAGCATTTCCCAAAAGCTTTTTTTCACACAAGATTTTACAGAACAAATATCCCAGAGAACTTTGGGGAACACTGTTTCAAGTGACTTTCAAATCTTAAAGCAAAACTGCTTGGCTGCTTCTAACCACTTGGTGTGGGAGGTTTACCATCACGTGAAAAGGTGGTGTGCAATAAGGCACAGGCCAGGAGTTGGGAATGAGGTTCTGGTTTCAGTGTCCCTTAGACAGCAAGGGAAGTACAGCCGATCATACAGGAGGGTCCGTGACTGGCTAAGGGAGCATGCCAGGAAGATGCATTTCAACGTGTTGGGATCCATAAAAATAGGTATAGGTTAGTCAGTTACCAGTCTATTCTACTATTCCAATAGAGGGAAGTTTCTTATGAGTTTATGTAGATGAATATGCATCTTAGAAATTTAGTCCTTTTATTACACCTAATAATAGTTTTCTTTTATCCTCCTTCCTCACCTCTACCCCCTGGGTCTTCTCTCAACAGAAAGTATGCTGAGGCATTGGATTACCACCGGCAGGCATTGGTATTAATTCCTCAAAATGCATCTACCTATTCTGCCATAGGATATATCCATAGTCTGATGGGCAACTTTGAGAATGCTGTGGACTATTTTCACACTGTATGTCATATTTGTATCCAACTTTAAATCTGGTTAACATTTACTGTGATTTTTTTTGTTGTTATGAAAAGGTCTTTTCTAGGCAATATTTTATTTCTTTACTATTTTAAAGTTCTTTAGGCAACCTTGTTTTCATTGTAGAGGAAAGCATGTGCATATTAAGCAATATTCATCAAATTTGAACAATTGTGGGATTTGTTCTCAGTGTGCATTGAGGTGTTCTGATGCCTGGAGATACTTGTTATTTGGTTCAGTCCAGGTGTCTCATGTAGGTAGGCAAGTGCAGCAATGCCTCTTCACAGTGAAAAGACTTTGAGAACACCTTACAATTCTTAACAATTCCTTTAGATTGCTTTGTAGATATACAAAAACAATCTGTGCCTTCATCACAAGGAAAGAATCTCTCTTTAATTCATATACTGTATTTCATCAGTACCAATTCCCATGAATAGACAAGATGACCACAAAGAAAAAAATGTTGCCAGTTAAACTTTAACATAATTTTTTTTCTATCATTTAAATTTTTTTTTGTACTTGAAGAAAGTATTCTTTTGGACATTTTAGACAAAGGTTTTTTTTTTAATCAGGAATCCTGTACATACATAAAAAAATAAAATACAAGTGAAATAAATGGTCACAATTTTTAGTCCAGGTGGTCAGATCTTCGTTTTCCCAAAATAGTGTCCTGTTGCCAGTACACACACTGTTCTTAACTCTGCATATCTTTTTAGCCACACATACCCTGCTTTGGAAGCCTCTCAGAACCCTTCAGCCTGCTAACATCAACAGAATGTTGTTAACCTGTTTCCCTGAAAATGAGACCTAACTGGAAAATAATCAGCCTTGAGAACTAGAGATCAAAAATGCCAGCTCCAACCACCTTGCCTTACCTGCCATTACAGAGTAGCCACTGAGCAAGAGAATAATGGGGTATAATCTGCATGACACTGGCCATCACCATGGTAATGACCAGTGCTTCTTTTCTGGTTAGGTCTTATTTTGGGGGAAACACGGACAACCACACAGTTCACATGTCATCTTCTCATGTTCTTCCATTGTGTTTGTTCTCACATGACCACCAAGTCCGCTTTGTGCAGGCAGGGCACTGCATTATAACTGTGGTTGTAGTAGCAGGAGCAGCAGCAGAAAACCGCCATGTATAAGAAACACCAGAATTTGAGAAAATACGGATCTTAGAAGCAATGAACTGATGATATTAGGAAAAAGATAAAATATGAGGGAATGTACTTTTTCAAAGAAATTCATTGGTGATAGGTTCATACCTGATTTTCAAGGGTTAACTGGAGGTTTTTAAGGGCCTTTGCAATAGGTAGAATACTGAACTAGTCAAAGTTTAGACCAAGCTTTTTGGGCTTGTATGTTCTTTCAGATATGTGTATTTGGGTGCTATATAATTTACCTCTCTTCAGTGATATAATTAACACAGTTTTTTAATTTCTTGGGGGATAATTTTCAAAGAATAGAACAGTTCAACCTCTGTGACCCTCACCCACCCTCAGCTGTCATCACCTTGTGCCCAGTCTTGTATCTGTCCCCACTCACACCCTCACCAGATTCCCTGGAATGTTTTGAAGTGAATCAGTGTGAGATGACTTCTAAACAAGAGAGATAGGATTACATCTTCATAATCATCCTGAATCTTTTTGGCAGGCCCTTGGTCTTAGACGAGATGACACATTTTCTGTTACAATGCTTGGTCATTGCATCGAAATGTACATTGGTGATTCTGAAGCTTATATTGGTAAGATTATAATCATTCTTCCTGGCTGTGTATCCCATTTTTTAAAATTGTTGTTTGACTCTATTGTGGTTTCTTCAATTCCTATTCAAGATTCTAAGTTTATCTTTTCTGCCATTCTAACTACATTAATATCAAGAAGCTCAAATTTGTTAGAACAATGTGTGGGAATCAGTGATTTATCAAGCATCTATTCAGTTGTGAACTGAGTACTGGCTGTGCACAGGACACTGACAGAAGAGTGTGTTAGAGAAGAGTCGGTTTAAGTGCATGCTGGAAGGGGTTAAAAAAAAATAAATGAAGGGCTCTGGTGTTTCTATTTATAATACAGGGTGTGACAATATTTTTACATTTCAGTGGAAAAGAGGGTGTCTTGTGTTCACTGAATAGTATGTAATTCTTTATTTTGTAACTTTATTTTTTAATGATTAATGGCAGTAGAATAAGTGTCAGTGGAATTGCTATGGCACTCCTTTAGGTTCAGCTACGTGAGGTCAGGAGGGAACACTGAGGTTAAAGCTTGAGATATGGACCTTGGAATGGGCAGAGATTTGTTTTTTAGGATGTAAAACCATAAGAGGAAAAAAGATGATAAATTGAACTTTTATAAAATTAAGAACTGTGAATTAAAAACACCATTAAAAGAGTGGAAAGTAGGGCCAGGGATTTAGCTCAGTGGTTCCACCGCCTGCCCTGCAAGCACAAGGACCTGAGTTCAATCCCCGGTACCGAAAAGAAAAATGAAGTTAACCCTATAGTGAATGACTGCTGTATACCCTCAGAAAGGCTGAAATTAAACATGGCTGGTATATTGGCCATGCCATGGAGTACCTGGAGCTCTGTGTATTGATTAACAGGGAGGTATAAAAGTGGGGAAACCCTTGAGCATATCTGCTAAAGTTACCAGTTATCTGTTGCTGTGTAATTTGCTGCTCTAAAGCTCTGTGATTTTAGCGAGCAATGTGCACAATGTTTAGAATTCTCTAAGCTGAGTGCTCCTCTGCTGGCCTCACTAGGGCCACACATGCAGCTGTGGGCAGCATGCATGGCAAGGTTCCTGGTCTGTGAAGGTCTCATTGTGGGTGGAACTCAGCTGAGATTGTCAGGCCTCTTTACATGGCTTTCATCCCAGGCTTCTTCATATGGTGGCTTCTAGGAATCTAAAGAACAAGAACAAAAGCTTTAAGACCTCTTGAAAGTTGAAAGTTCCATAACAACCCTTCTATCCCATTTTGTTCATCAAAACAAGTCACAATTAAGCTCAGAATCTTATATGGGAGGGGACTGCCCAAGCACAAGGAAGCTGGGGCCTTGTGATTAACTGGGATAATGAGTGACCATTCTGGTCTTAAGACACAGCAGTTCTCCTCTGAGTGAGTCCAACAGAAACCAATGCCTCTGTGGGCCAAAGATTGCTACTACAACTTTATTCATAATCACCCCTAACTGAAATGACCAAATGTCCAGCAGCAAGAGAATGGAGGAACAAATTGTAGTTCATTTGGACAACAGCATACTGCATAATTAAAGACTGACTACTGAATCATGGCTGAATTTCACAGACTTGGCAAAGGGAGTATATGCTAGTTCTTCCATTTATAAGAGGACTAATAATAAGCAAAACTAAGTGGTAGTGATGGAAAAGTCAGAATAACAATCACCGGCTGAGCCAGAAGTGCTGACCAGGAGGGGGCAAGGTGGCCGTTTTAGCAGCCAGTGCTTTGTGCTTCTTTGTGGCAGTGGTTACATGGAATAGCTGTGTAGGAATTCATCCAGCTGTGCACCTAAGGGAAAGTAGACTTCAGTGTTTGTTTCATAGCTCAGTTCTTGAGAAAAGTTCTTGTTCCCTGAAGTCCTAGGATTTAGCTCACCACTCAGTAGCCCCTCTGACTTTGGGGTGGGTAAGAGCATCAGCTTCATTATTTGTTCAAGGAGTCATGAGTCTCAAATGTGAAACTAAGCAAAGGCTGTAGGTGCCACAGTGAGTGTTTTTATCTGCCCTTGAAGAGGTGTTGTCATTGAGATTTCCAAGTTACTATTTACTACTTAGTATTTTTATTTTTAGAAAGCTTGCATGTCATTTACCAAAATATCTAATCCTGAAAGCAATTAGTTTGAACTATGTCAAATTGTCATTTATGTCAGAAATTACTGAACCTAATACATCTGCTCATACATGTCCGATGCACATTCTTAAGGGCTTGACATGTGGAAACTTCTGTGGTGGTTCCCATGAGCATAAGGTCAGTGACTGTTCCCAGCAAGTGTACTACAGACAGTTCTTGTCAGTAACAGCAGAGGCGAATTTTGCACACAGGCTTCACCAGTGTTTGAGCTTTGGGAGCAGGGTGGTTTAGCAACCACATGGGAGCCACAGCTGCATGTGCTTCCAAAGGCTTCCAAGGTGAAAAATAAAAGGAAACCATTTGGACTTTCAACATTCTGGTCCATGCTCTTAAAGTTCAGTTGGATTTAAATGGTAGGAGGATTGTGTGTAATGATGGAAATAGCAGATCAATGATAGAATTTATTCTAATTATGGTGTTTCTTTTTAGGAGCAGATATTAAAGACAAATTAAAATGTTATGACTTTGATGTGCATACAATGAAGACACTAAAAAACATTATTTCACCTCCGTGGGATTTCAGGGAATTTGAAGTAGAAAAACAGACTGCAGAAGAAACGGGACTTGCACCACTGGAAAACTCCAGGAAAACTCCAGATGCCAGGCCTTCCTTGGAAGAAACTTTTGAAATTGAAATGAATGAAAGTGACATGATGTTAGAGACATCTATGTCAGACCACAGCACGTGACCGCAGACAGTGGTCCTGGGCCAGCCTGTGCTGGTGTAGGTCAGTATTCCCTGCTGCCCTTGCCACATTTAAGAATTTCCCACTTTCCAACACGAACCCAAACTTCATCTCTGTGTTTAGGACCAGAGGCTGCCTTGAGAGACTGGATAGCACACCTTGCAGCAGATGTTCTGAGTCTCTGAAGTACAAAATAGTTATACCTAGTGGAATAAAAAGGTAAACCGTCTACTCTGTCTTCTATCTTTTTCAATAAACTTTTTATTTTGGACAAACTGTAGTTTGCAGAAGAGTTGCCAAGATGGTAGAGAGTTTCTGCATGTCCCTCGCCAGTGTCCCCCTTGGTAACAGTGGTAGCACCTTGCTGTTAACTGAGCCCTGGAGTGCCTTGTGCTCGTTCTGTCCCAGGATCCTGCCCATGTGAGTTTGGCTAGGATGATGTCTCGGTCTCAGGACCTGGAAAGTTTAGAGGAGACCCATCGGGTGGTCTGTAGAGTGACCCTGCTGAGTCTGGTTCAGTGCCATAGAGGTGACGCACCTAGCTCATCACAGGTGGCACTGACCCATATTGCTTGGTCATGGTGGCACCATCTGCCAGCTTGTGCTGTCAAGTTGCTGTCTTCCCTTTCTGAGCTCTGTGGCCAAAGAGGTTAAAGCCCAGCTCCTCTAGGGACAGTATCCATGTATTCCTTCCTGGAGATCTGTCTCCTCTCCCACTTGGATATTCAGTCATTTATCAGTGAGAACTTACATCATATTTTGAGTTGTAACCTACACAATGTTACTTACTTTGTGACCTAAATTGTTCAGTTTTGGCCATTGGAAGCTTTTTCAGCTTAACTGTTTGACATGCTCTCATCCTTTTAGTTGTTTTTCTCTTTCTTTATTGTAATCAAATGTGTGTAACGTAAACTATGGACTTTGCAGTTACACCAGTGCAGGATATTAACAACAGGGGTCGGAGGGAGAGGAAGTATGTGGGAATTTGTGCTTCCAACAGGCTTCCCAGCATTCCCTGTTTTCTTTTCAGTTTTCCTGTACACCTAAAACTGTTCTAGGAAATACATCTACTAATGAAAACATACAGATGCATAAAAATACAAAATGCCTCTTAACCATTTTTAAAAGCAGAGCTGAGTGGCATTTATTACCTTAACAATGTTGTGCCGCCATCTGATTTCCAACATTTTTTCATCACCTAGAATAGAAACTTTCTGCTCATTCAGCAGTAACTCTACACTCCTCCCTTCACACACACCCCACCGGATAACGGCTAATCTATCTTCTGTCTCTAAAAGTTTACCTCCTGTGGATTTCATGTAAGAAGGTTCATAGGATATGTTTCCTATGAATATGGCTTATTTACTTAGAATAATGTTTTCAGGGTTTCCCCATGTTGTAGCATTAATCAGAACTTCATTTCTTTTTATAGCTGAATACTATTCCATTATATATATATATTTTTTTTTCCATTAAGTTTATGAGTACACTTTAGGTATACAGTACAGTTACATTCATCATTGGGATGTTGTACCTGTACATGATGCATCTTGGTTCCCATTTTTTCCCCATTCCCCTGCCCTCCCTTCACCCCCTCCCCCTTCTCTATTTACAAAGACTTTGTTTCCATGTTTTTCCTTTTCTCATATTCTTTCCTTTCCCCTACCCCTCCCACTTCCCCTACTCCTTTAGACGTTTTCCCATTTCACAATATCAGTTACTCATTTTGATCCTTGTTTACACTGTTAGTTTTTCACACCAGAGAAACTTATTCCATTATATTTAGAGAGGTCACATTTTGATTATCCATTCATCTGCTGTAGACACTTGAGTTGTTTCCACTTTGGGGTTGTTGTGGTGTTGCTGCTGCTGTGAACATCAGCATACAAATACATGCATCTGTTTTTGGTTTGTTTTGGTATATACTTAAGAGTCGTCTTTCTGGGTCATAGGATAATTCTGCAGTTTACTGAGGAATTGCCACTCTTTTTCACATCAGCTGCACCCTCTGGTTTTTCCACATCCTCACCAACACTTGTTATTTCCCATTAGTTTTTATTTAGTAAACCTAATAACTGGTGATATTAGGATCTTTTCATCTGGTTGTCATTTTTGAATCTTTAGAAATACTTATTAAAGTGCCTTGCCTAATTTTTAAGTTGGGTTATCTTTTTTTGTTGTTCCTGAGTTGTAAGAGTTTTCTTATGTGTATTAGCTATTAATCCCTTTTCAGATATAGGTTTTGTTCCCATTGTGTGAATTGCCTTTTCACTCTTTTAATGAGATTTGGTCTGTTTTTTGTTTGTTTTATTGCCTATGCCTTTGGTGTTACATTTAGTCAGAAACCATTGCCAAATCCAAGGTCAAGTAGATTTTTCATGCAGCTCTTCATCTAAACTTGTAAAGTTAGGTCTTTGATCTAGTCTGGGTTAATTTTTGTGCATGGTGTTAGGTAAGGATCCAACTTTATTCCTTTGGAATAGGTGTCTAGTTTTCCCAGCACCACTTATTGAAAAGACTGTCATTTCCCCTCTTAAATAGTCTTGGCACCTTGTTGAAATCAACTGCCCAAAGATTTGAGGGTTTACTTTTGGGCTCTGAATTACATTCTTTAGTTTATTACTATCTTTATGCTCCCACAGTGCTTTGATTACTGCGGTTTTGTGTAGGTGTGAAATCAAGAAATGTGAATCCAACTTTGTTCTCTTTCAAGGTTATTTTGGCTGTTGTACCCTTGAATTTTCATATGAGTATTAGGTAATAGTTTTTTCCATTTTTGCTTAAAATGCCATTGGGATTTTGGTAGAGTTGGCATTGAATCTATGTGTCATTTTGGAAAGTATTCTCTTTTTAACAATATTAATAAGTCTCCCATTGCATGATCACCAGATATCTTTCCATATATTTAGGTCACCTTTAATTTCTTTCAGCAATATTTTGTAGCTTTTGGCGTATAGCTCTTTGACGGCCTTGGTTAAATTTGTTTTTTAAATGAAACATTGTGAATGGAATATTCTTAGTTTTTGTTTTCATTATTCATTCTAATATGTAGAAATGTAAGTGATTTCTCTGTGTTGATTTTATATCCTTAATTTGTCTGCTGGCTGTAGTTTGTGTGTGCGTGTGTGTGTGTGTGTGTGTGTGTGTGTGTGAGAGTGAGTGATTATAGTGAATAGAACTGGCTGAAGTCGGCCTTCTTGTCTTGTTTCTGATCTTATGTAGAAAGCTTTCAGACTTTTATCATATGATGTTTGTTGTGTTTTTCACAGATACCCTTTCTTGTGTTGAAGTTTTCTGGTATTCTGTTTACTGAGTGGTTCTTATCCTGAAAGGGTGTAAATCTTGTGAGATCCTCTTTTTGGATGAGTTGTGATGGTTGGTATAATGAGTTCAAGGATTTCAGGATTGAACAGGGAAAATGTGTGACCACCGGTTGGTGGCCTCATCTTCAGGCCCCTCCCTGGGTGCTATAAGCGTGTAATGAGGAGAGTTACATTGATTCTGGTACCGTTATTCAGGCTAATGGTTGTTTGGTGGCAGGGCCAACCTCTGGAGCTTCCCACTCTGCCATTTTCTGTGACTTTGCTCCTTTTAAAATTATAGCTAGGTATTTTGGCATTGTTATATTAAGTGCTAAGAATCATGAGAATATTTACAGGATTTATTGAATTTAAGCTTTTAAAGGCTGTAATACTCCAAGCTAATAAATTCAGCTGACTAGTAAGCATAATTCTGTGACACTTTAAGCCAAATGAATTTAACAAGTGCTGGTGCCAAATTATACTTTTGTTCTGTAAAATAAATGTGATTCACTATTCTTTCTAAGTTGTACATTCTTGTGTGTAGAAGATAAAGAGTTTGAGTTTCCCTGCCTTCTTTTTACTTATTGATGACATATCTTTTTAACTATTAGGTTCTCTCTCCATTTTTATTTAATCATTTTAATATCTTTTCTTTCTCACCTAGTAATAGACTGGAAATGAAATTTGTGTGAAATAAGCAGGTGATTATTAGAAATGATAAGTCTTGTAATATGGAGGCTCCTATTTTGTAGGCACATCTGAAATCAGCCCTGGCAGACCTGACTGAAATGGCCCATTGGTTGGGCTCAATTTCCTGGATTTATACATTTGACTATGATTTATTTTGTGAAATATTAACATTTTTGTTTGTAAAGGGGTTACATGAGACCGTTATAAACACTTTAATCTCTTCACTGAAATAAGAAAAGGTATCTTGGTAACTGCATAAGTAGAAAACAGCCCACTCTTGTGGTCACTCTTAGCCCATTTATGCCAAAGATTGACATTTTTTGAATTTTTGCATGAGATTCATATGTTACCTAGAAAAATTCAAGGAATAAGAATTTGAAGAGAACACATTTCATTATGTTCCACTGTTAAATGCATTGCAAAAATGGATCATGAGGCATTGAAGGGTTAATACGGCTTAGGCTGTGTGTTTTGTTGACAGTCCTTTGTTTTAAACTCTTTATAGTCTTAACCTCAGCAGAAACATTGTTCTGTATCTTCATAGAAAAAGAAGTGTAGGCCTGGGGATTTAGCTCAGTGGTTTTGCCGCCTGCTGCACAAGCGCAAGGACCCGAGTTTGATCCCCGGTACCAAAACAAAAAGAAAAAGAAGTGTAATTATCTCAAAACATTTATACACAGTATTGTTATCAAATAAGGTATGAGATAAATTTTCCCACCAACTGATATGTTCCCTGGACACCAGACTTTTAATCTTTACCTATGTAAAATGCCCCGTTCTGTGGCAGCTCATCAACAGTGAATGTTGGCCACTACCTTGGGCTTCATGTGGTAATGCACTAGTGTGTTTCTGAGTCTTCATTTTTCTCTTTTAATGGCTTTTCTATTTCTTCTGTCAGGTATGTGATTATTTTTATGACTTCTCTTTATATAGCTGGGGCTAGAAAATTTAAATACTGAACTTGAAATAATGAAAAATTAACTAAAGTGGAAGTAGTCTGCTAATGAAGTGCTGAGCTTTTTCACATTTATTTGCCTGACAGAACATTGAGCATCTGTTACAGTTTCTTAGGTATCTGGGTGAGTCTTACTAGTGAGACATTATTAAATCGACAGTGTTTTAAGACCTGACTAAGCTGTAATTCAGATCAGCAATAGTGTTAACACCAGTGCTCAAGCTTCAGAGTGTAAGAAAGTGATGTGTCATTGTACCACCAAATATTCTTTCTGTTATACCCAGTTCTCCGGCAGCTCACAATGATGCAATTTCCTTAAAAGATTCTGGGTTCCCAGGCACTGGCCCCTCCCAAAAAACAGGTGTCCTAGCCAATTGTAAAGTGGCTGTGCCATCATCTTCAAAGAAGAAACTGGGAATCTTATGGTCATCAGCTCAAGTCACTGTCACCTACACTTAGATAGGGGTTATGGAGTAAAGCACACTCCCAGAGCCTATCCATGGACCGAGTATTCAGTTAGGCAAAAGTAACATTACTATATTCACCCTATATTTGGAGATTTTCAAGCAGGTGTGTATGTCCTACCTGTGGCCTGTAGGTTGGACACACCTATGTTACAATAATAATAAAAAAATGTAGAGCCAGGAGTGATGGTGCACACCTGTGATCCCAGCACTCCAGAGGCTGAGGCAAGAGGATCACCATGAGTTCAAGGCCAGCCTGCACTCCACAGTGAGACCCTGTCTCAAAAAAAAAGGTTAGAAATAAGGAAAGCTTTGTTATTTATATACATTAATTATATATTTTATATGCATCTGAAGACAATTCCTCTTCACTCAGTGTAATCCAGGCATATCTGTCACAAGGCTACAGGTTAGACATGTAAAGTTCTGAACAAATACAAAACAAAACATTTGAACAGGCTGGGTACTATAGTAGAGGAAGCTGGATTTTCTTTGTGTTATATGTTGCTTTTTCATGTAAAATCATAAGCTACTTCTCCAAATACATATCACAAGTTTTTATTGAAGGAATAATCTGACATAGATGATTTCTAATACTGTCATTTTGTGAAATTTTTCAGAACTTTATTTGCAATAACAGGAAATAAAAAATTACAGGGGTCTTTAACAGTTGTGACAACGGTGGCTATTTCTTGGAGGGGGGCATTTGGGCATTGTGCTGGTTCAATTTACAGGAGATACACATCCAGCAAATTCTCTATGTGAGTTTCTGTCTTGTGCCAGAATCCAGGTAACTTGGGTGGTCTGCAGGGAGAGGAAGTGCAGGGCACAGGGAAGTGGGGGTGTGCCAGTAGGAGGGACTGAGGAAAGATCCCTGCTCTTGACCAAGAGGCTGTCCTAGCTGCAGAAGGGTAGCTGGTGGAGCTGGATAGAGAACATACTTCATGGTGGGGCAGAAAAGGAATACAAGAAGTATCAGGGCATTGATCATGGCAGTCTTAATGATAAGAGGGAGCAGGAATTCTCCATTTGATAATTTTGGTGTATTTTGACTGAGTTAATAAATGAATCCCCTTGGTGCAAGAGTGCTTCAGTGAGAATCTTTTATTAATGGGAGAAGTAATGTTCAGAATAATAAATAATAAAAAGTATTACCCCAGTCTAGAAACATTACTGGATCTCAAATACTGAGTTAGATGATTGTTTAAGCTCAGTAATATTTGGAAATTGGAGAGGGAAGACCCACAGGTAGACTGAAAGCAGTGCTTGTCTTTTTTTTTTTAAGACAGGGTCTCACCATGTAGTTCAGGCTGACCCTGAACTCACCACAGTCCTCCTGCCTCGCCTCTTGAGTGCTGGGATTACAGGCATGCACCACCACATCCTGCTGTGAAACCAGTTTAAAAAAAAAAAGATATTTAAAAACCAAGTTCAGTGGTGCACACCTGAAATCCCAGCTATGCTAAGGGATGAGGCAGGAGGATCAGAAATTTGAGGCCAGCCTAGGCAACTTAGCAAGACCTTGCCTCAAAAAGGACTGGAGGGGCCGGGGGTTTAGCTCAGTGGTTTCGCCACCTGCTGCGCAAGTGCAAGGACCCGAGTTCGATCCCTGGTACCAAAAAAAAAAAAAAAAGCGGACTGGGAATGTAGTTCAGCATTCCCTGGGTTCAAACCCTGTACTGCAAACAATAGATATGTATTCTTTGTCTATTAAAATATTTTATCTGACAGCCACATTTTCCTACTTTTTATCACAGAGGTCAGCAGAGCTGCTGATCAGCATAACTGGTGTTTCTGAACTGAACTGGTTGAAACTGTGTCTTAGTTACTTTTCTTTTTGCTGGGACAAAGTACCCAGCACCACAAGTTAAAGAAGGAAAGGTTTATTTCAGTCCATAGTTGGCTGGCTGCAAGGCAGGGCAGCATAACAAAGGGGCATCACAGAGGAGAAAGCGTTAATGGTGTGGCAGGCAGAAGGCAGCACAGTAACATGCAGCAGCAGCCTGCCTTCTCTTGCTTTATATTCCATCCAGGTTACAAGCCTATTGATTGGTGCCACCCATACCCAGGGTGGGGCTTTCCTTTATCCACATCTTTAATCCCAGTATCACATCCTTAATCCTCATTCACACACCCTAAACCCTAACCCTTCAAAACTCCAACTCTATGACCACGTGAAGCTTTGGAGGGATATCTAGATACAAGCCATTACACAGTGGATTCTTCCACTCAACCTTATCACAGGAGTCTTTCTGCTTGGCTTCCTTCAGACTGGCAGCAGCCAAAGCTTATAAACCTCTTTGCAGCTTTGTGAAGCTCTTCCCAGAAGCTTCTGCTGCCTCTGGGGGCTCTACGCAGGTTGCTGGTCTCCAGAACTCTTGAAGTAGTCCCTGGTGTTACTGGCCCATAGTACCCAAGATGATAACCCCGAGTAGATGCACAGAACCCCCGAGTGATGGTGTATCGTACTGGGACCTGTGCTGTTCCTTAGACATGCTCTTTTGTGCCCTTCATGGCCCTGCTTGAGAACTTCCACAGTAATGACGGGCAAAGTCCTCTGGGATTACCCCAAGTTTTAAGTCTGAAGGCCAGAGCAAATATCCTGGAGTCTGGGACAGCTGTAGGTGTCTTGGCAACCGTCCCCCTGCACTTGGGAGAAGCATTTATTTGCTTGACAGCTCCTGCGTCCCCGGGAAAGTGCTGGGGCTGATGGTGGGAGGACATCGCAGCAGGAGATGCTGCCTGGCTGCCCCAGGCCACCGACGCACCAGTGAGGGGGGAAGGGGGTGTGACAGCTGACAGATCGCGCCCCCTTCCAGCTGCGGAGAAAAGGGTGGAGCCTTATCTGTCTCTGTAAGTGAAAAATTCAGCCAATGTAAATAAAAATGTGAGGAATTAGTAAAGAATATGGGATACAAACTATTCTAAGTGCTGCCTGTATGTAAAAGAAACAGCTATGAACTCTTAGCGCTGCTCGGGTTATTCAGAGCCTCAGACCCGGGCAGCCTTGCCCTGCGCCTGCGGACGTCCATCGCCGGGGGCGGGGTAGCAGCTCGGTTATCGCGAGGCTTCGTTCTGTCGCGGGACGGGGACGGGATGAGGTCGGAGGAGACCTTCGGAGGTCTGAGTGCGGTGGTTACTGCTCAGAGTCCAGGCGGGCGGGAGAAGCTGTCGGCGGCGGAGGTCCAGTTCCACCGGGAATCTCCGCGGCGAGAACCTCGGACACCACCAGCGTCGTCCGGCTCTGGAGGAGGGACCGTCAAACCTCGCGAGGAGAAGAGGACGGTTCTGAGCAAGGTGGGGGCGGGGCGCGGTTCCCGGCTGCCAGGGCACCGGAGCGGGGGTGGGCTGGGTGACTCGCCGGTTTTGCCCCAGGTGGTCCTGCGGCGGCTGCCCCCCGGCCTCACTAAGGAGCAGCTGGAGGAGCAGCTGCGCCCGCTGCCCGCTCACGACTACTTCGAGGTGGCCGGCGCGGACCGCAGGTGAGGGCTCCGTGGGTCAGGGGCGGGCGGGAAGCGGTCGCGACCTCATCCCGAGCCGGTCCCGGCCTTTGTACGGAGGTGTCGTGAGTCTACTGCGTGCCGGTCCAGTTTGGAGGACCAGGTGCCACGCACGCCCCAGCACGGTTCGCCAGGGAAGGCCCAGGGGTGCCCCCCTGCGGCTCCACCGCCCTGTGTCCTGCTCCTCCAGACCCCGCAGACCAGGCCGGCAGTCAGCGGCCGGGGACAGGTCAGCTAGAACTCAGGGACTTGAAGGATATTTCTTTTTAAATATAATTTGTGGTAGCTATAGAAACTTACCTTTGGAATAACTGCAGTCAAAGGAAAATATTATTGCTATTAAACATAGGTATGGTTAATAATACAGATGGCTTTTGAGTGGCTTATGGTTAGAAACCCGAGACAGCGAGGACAGGCGTAGATTGGGTCGTACCTCTCTCTAGTGGCTCCCAGCCCACCTTCCACTGACTGCCCTGCTGCTCGCTACTGAGTCCTGCCCTAGTGGATTGGTGACCGTGAGCTGGCCTCAGTCTTCTGCAGACCTCAGGCAGGGTGCTACAGGAATACAGAAGTTCCAAGGGAGCATCGTTTGCCACGTCTAGATCCAAACCAGGCTAGTTCCAGCCGTGAGGCTGCACGGATGATCTTCAAATAACCCTGCCTTGAACTTTAGCCCTGTACGATAAAGAAGCTGACCTAAATTGTCTCTCCCAAGTAATTAAAAGACCTCAGTTAATGGCTTATGTTTTTATTTTTTTATGTTTTTCCTACAGAATATCCAAGTTATAATTGAGAGTCGATTATTTGGTATGAAGATTTTTTTTCTGAAGTAGTTTGTTGTGTCCAGAAAAGAAGGGTAGTAAAGAAAGTAAAGGAGTTTTACAGCTTTCAACATTTTTTATTATCTTGTATTTCAGCCTTTATCCTCATCTCTACTCAAGAGCATACATTAATTTTAGGAATCCTGATGACATCCTTCTGTTCAGAGATCGTTTTGATGGATATGTCTTCATGAGCAGTAAAGGTTGGCTCAATGGTTGTTAAACTCTTTGATCACTGTCTCTAAGTATACCTTATTAATGAAATTTAGCTGGAATATTTGTGAGTTTTATTTTCAGACATCTAAAGATCACAAGTTTCAGTTGTTCCTATGTTATGTACTCATGTTAAAAATTAATATTATAAATCAGAGAATTCAAGAAATACTTCGTGATGACATAGTTGTATTATTGTTGCAGTGAAATTTTTCATATACGTGTGTTGTAAACTTTACATTTTGTATTCCAAGGATAATTTTACCTGCAATTGATAGAGATTGTCTAAAATGTATTATACACTTAAGAGCTGTGTCTTCCTGAATAGAGCACTCTTTGTCATTGTATATGTCTTGATGATGCCATGGGAGAGGGAGTTGAAATCGCCAACATCAGTCCTTGATGGTTTAAGCATTGGGCTCTACTTCCTTATACTTCCTGGGACCTGCTTTTTTTTGGTACTGGGGATTGAACTCAGGACCTTACAGCGGAACCACTGAGCTAAATCCCCGGCCAGGATCTGCTTTTGATATTGCTCTTTCTCCCTTCTGGTCAGACTGTCCTCCTTATGGTCTGTTGAGTCTGTAAACCTCCTGCAGCAGGTTGCTTTCTGGCACCCACCAGTCAGCCTCTTGCCCCATCCCCCCATACTGATCACTGATCTCCTGCTCCACCAAGGGATTACAAACTAGAGAAAGTTGTTAGAATGAATAAGCTAAAGGCCAAGACATAGTATCTGTGTAACAGCAAGTTTTAACACTTGAACTAGATGTTTGTGTGGATGGCTCAGTGCTGTATTAACAAAATCTACCATCATTTCCCTTTTGAAGTGTGCAGTTCAGTGATGCTAAGTATATTCACCTTGTGCCAGTGTCTTCAAAGCTCATCCATGTTGCAACATTTACGGAGTTTTGTTTTTAAAGCCTAGTCTATCATATGCATAAACCGTATTTTGCTTGTCCGTTCATCTGTCAGTGGACACTTGGCTTTCTTCCAAATCTTAGCTTTTGTGAATACTGCTGCTGTAAAAATGGGTGTACAAATAAGTCTTTGAGAACCTGCTTTTAGTTCATTTGGATTTATACCCAGAGATAGGATTGGTGGGAAATATGGTAATTCCATTTTTAATTTTTTGAGAAACCACCATATGTTTCCCATGCTAGCTCTACTATTTTGCATAATTTATATTCTTAACAGTAGTGGGCAAGTAGCCCAACTGCTCCACATTCCTACCAACACTTGTTATTGTCTGTTTTCTTTTTGTTGTAAGTTCTGAAACCAGGGAGTGTATCAGGTGCTGTTTAATACTTACATACCATATACTGGCCATTGTAGGTATAGCAGGGAGTTGACACTGTCCCTGCCATGTTTTCCTAGAGCCCTGTTTTCCTCCTCATTCTTGATTTCACTCTAGACAGTTGAAGTTAGCACAAAAACATGTTCCAGATAAATGAGGGTTATAACACCCTAGTCACCCAACCATTACTAACAATGTTAAAAATGTTTAGTCAGTGGGTTTGGTATATAGGTAGACACATTCCATCTGTTTGCCCTGGATTTAACAACAAAATCAGGTTGTTTTGGTTTTTTTGTTGTTTGTTTTGTTTTGTTTTTTGTTTTTTGAGACAGGGTCTCACTATATAGCCCACGCTGGCCTCAAACTCACAGCAGTCCTCCTGCCTCAGCCTCCCAAGTGCTGGGATTACAGGTGTGTACTCCCACACCCAGCACAAAATCAGTTTTAACTGCTTTCTTTCTCCACCTTTTTATTTGGAACAAATCTTTCATGGAATGTGGTATGTGCCTATGAAGCCTCACCCCCTTTTAGCCCTGTGTCTCTTTTAAGCAAAGTAATTTCCCTGAACTTGTATGACAGATAATTAAATTAACACTTTAAAATTTTTAAAAAATTAAAGAAAACTGACAAAAGATATTCAGGTGATAGTTTGGGAGAGAGGTAGGAAGGTCAGGTTTACTGAGGTGTCAACCATGAGTGGTAAAAGCCACTTTTTAAATTGAGTGGTCTGATGGTTTGAACGTGTTTAGTCAGTAACCACCACATGAAGGTCATTTTTTTTAATAAATATGGCTCCTCCTATCATTGGCTCATCTTTTAAGTCTGGAATTTGCCTTTGTCATCATCATGCATCATCCTTAAGTAAGTTAAATCGTTATTTTCCAAAGTGAACATAGTAGAATTTCAGAATGGTTTTTGGGATGTGTCTTGGTAAAGGCCTGGAGTATCCTGCCGTGGTAGAGTTTGCTCCATTCCAGAAGATAGTCAGGAGGAAGCTGAAGAAGAGAGACAGCAAGACGGGGGGCATTGAAGACGGTGAGCCCTTCTTAAGTAGATTAAATACACTCGTCATGTATTATTCCTTCCTTATAGTTGGGGAAGAATATATATTTTTAAATTTTCTCTTTTAAATTTATAGATCCAGAGTATAAACAGTTTTTAGAAACTTACAGCATGGAAGAAGAGAGAACCAGTGCCAACCCTGAAATTCTTCTGGGAGAGATAGAGGCAAAGACGAGAGAACTTGTTGGTCTGTTTTGCTCATTTCTTCTCTTTATGAAAATATTTTATTTATAAGAGTATGCATTTATTTCTTATTTTCCATGATAATGGTTATAGGCTTGGCAGAAAATCAGTGTTTTCCAGTTTTAACAGAAGGGTGGCAGGATGGGGAAGTATTTCTGAGCCTTTATTGGTGGGTGCAGAGTGTCTGAGTCTTCTGCACCGTTTCCAAGTGCAGTCTTCCTGGAGGGCAGCGGCACGCCCGTGACTGCTGTGTCTGGCTGTCTCTGGAGGGAACTGTGCCACACAGCTGAGTGTGGTCTTTGCAAACCGTGGTTGTGGGTGGGGCTCAGGACCCCATGGGGATGAAGGGCCTTGCTTAAGTATAAAGCTGCCTTCCTGCTGTTTAGCCCCCTGAAAAAGCCAAACCAACCAGTGGAGAAACCCAGCCAAGGCATGGAATCTGATTTGAATTCAGCCCTTGAATCCACCCAAAGTAGTGTACTTTAGAAATGTTTGAACATTATCTAGCATGTGTTTGTTGTTCCCAAAACACCTTTATCCTTCACCAGCCAGACTCCTTAGTTTAGTCCCAAATGGCTCATGGAGCCTCCCTTCCTGTGTAGTCTTGCTGGACACTGGGCCTCTCCTTAAGGCCTTGGTGCTCTGCCCCTCAAGGCAGTGTCCAGCACCCATCAAGACTTGTCAGATGTGAGAGCCACAGTGTTTATAGTTGATCTTTATTTATTTATTTATTTTTGTCCAGAGGTTGAACTTGGGACCTTGCGCCTGCAAGGCAGACAGCATCGGAACCACTGAGCCAAATCCCTGGCCCTATAGTTTATCTTATCTGTTGATCTCCCTCCATGTAAATTCCCTTCTTACTTGAGTGTTCTGTTTCCCTTGTGGAACTGTATTTTCACCTTTGTAGTCAGCGCAGAGAAGCTTGGGAATCAAGTAAATGATTGTTAAATAAGCAGACAGTCTGGAGCTTTGTAGGAGCAGAATGTGAGCTGATGTATGATACCTGGTGTCAGCTGGGTGAGAGGCCCAAATTTGTTCCAGGGAGTGACACCTGCTGATTTGTGTCTTTCTATCATTGCTCCATCCATGATGGATTTCAAATGTGGAGATGAGGTGGGGCCTGGTGAGAGACTCTTGCTCTCCCTGATGAGGCTGCTGCTTAAGGCTGACAGGTGTGGAATATACAGTAAGTCCTCGACTTAAGAACATAAACTTTCACAGGTGTACTATATAAGACTCACTTTGTCAGCTTACAAATGAATCCAACGTAAAAACAGTTCTCCCAGAACAGAACTCATTCATAAGTCGGGGACTTACTGTACTCTGGAGGTGGAATAGACAAGGAAGGTGGATGGATTGCTTGTGGAAAGTTAGGGACAGAAGGAATTAAAGACTCCGTGACTTGAGCAGAATGATGGCTTGCACCACCATACTGATGTACGGAGGATGAGGAGAGATAGTATTGGGGCAAAATCAAGATTTCTCTTCAGAACATGTTAAATTTTAGAGGAGCTGAAAAAAAGCAAATTAGATGTTCTTTACAGAACTTGCCTTCCTGCCCCTCTTGTCTCTCTCTGGTTAAATGTCCCTGTGCAGGCACTTCCCCTTTGCTAGTCAGGCTGCAGCTACAGTCCTGTGGAGAGGCCTCTGTTCCTGTCCTCCCAGCTGGCACACCGCTCTCAGTGCCTGCTGTGCAGATGGCACTGCATAAATGCAAGTCGAAGTCGTGCATGGGACATGGACCCCATGACCCCAGCGTGAGAAGTTCATTCATTCCAGGACTAGGCCTTAGAGCCTGGCTTCTGTTAAGATTGAATCTTCTTCACTTGTGGCCTTCAGTGGAGTCTTAGAAGCAGCCACGACATATGAGGATTAAATAGAATCTTTTTAAATAAATAGAATCTTAATAAACTCGTATTGGCAGGAACTAACGTTGAGCTATCCAGGGGCTTCGAAGCAAGCAGACCTGAGACTTGGTGGTCACATAGCCTCAGCAAGCCCCATTGCCTTCCTGAACCTTTTAGATTTTTGTAAGATGGTAAGTGAGGAGCATGCTGTAGGTAGAGATGGTTATTCCTTTTATTAGATTAGCATTATATTACATGATGGTGCATATTCCATCTAATACATAATACACTTTTATGGTATGTAAAAACACTTCTTATAGAGGGTCTCCTTGACTCTTCCTGTGAATCCCGGAGGGAACCTGGTGGGGGTCTCATAGAAGAGGAAGGAACACAGCTGTAGTTTAGCCAAGGTGGTTCCTGGTTGACAAGTTCAGGCCTTCCACAGATCAGAGAGGATTTTCCTGTTATGAAGGGTAAATGCTTAACTTTTGCCAGTGGGCTAAACTCACCCTGAGCCAGAATTCATGGTCAACACAGTGGGGCCACTCCATGTGAGTAGTTCTCGACCACTGCATCTGCCATGAAATGGGCATCTGACCCATGTTCACTCTTCCCATTTGACATGTGAAGTCAGAGTGTTTGGGGTCACATGGCCAGGGCTCTTTTAATTCCTCATTAGTTTCTGACCCTCATACTTCTGGAATTGCCATGCATGTTCAGGTACATCCATGGATTCTTCCCAGCCTCTAATCTGGGATCTTAAAGACCCACAAAGCAGGCCCAGACCATGTCCCACCTCTCACCCACATCCTCACACTTGGGGAACTTTCCTGGTCCCTCTGAGCAGCAGCACCTGTGGGGCCTGCAGCATGTGTTGGCACCCGACATCCAGATCAGATCGGAGAGGTCATTTTTATATCAATAATAGTAAAAATGTATTTTCTAAAATAAAAGTAAAATGTGTGAATCTCATACACATGATGTCCAAAATGTATTATAATTCTTAGAATTACCTTCAAAGCATTAATACATAGACACTTTATAAAATACATTAAAATTTCACTTATACATAAACTCTTTAAGTATATAAGGTTATTAAATATACTTCATTTGTTGTATTTTTATGAGATTTATTCAAATTTTAAGAAATTTGTGAATGTGGTAATTAATAGAGAAATAACTACAATAGTAGCTAATATTGAGAGTGTATTTTGTGTCAATATTGTACTGTTTTATATTTAGCACAGGTTTTAATGTAACAATCAGTTCATTTCACATTACTTTAATCCATATTTTATAATAAAACAATACAAATCCTTGAAAATTTTACAACTGTAGGCTCACATTCAGTTTTTGTCTATGAGCCTCACCCTTTAAAAGCTATGTTATATATTGCTGGGGATTTAGCTCAGTGGTGCTGCTGCCTGCCTTGCAGGGAGAAGGTCCTAAGTTCAATCCCTGATACCAAAAAAAAAAAGCTATGTTGTATCAACAGTAGATATAATGACATGACACTTAAATATGGAATGATGAAGCTTGAGTTAGGGTTTGTGGAAATACTGATTCCACAAGTGGAATTGGTCATCTTTTAACCAACAGTGCCATATGGAGTCCTTTTCCAAAGTGCAGTCTGTAGAGTTTTTCTTTGTATACAAGTTGAATATTCCTTATCTGAAATAGTTGGGACCAGAAATGTTTTAGATTTAGGATTTTTTTGTCGACTTTGGAATATTTGCATGTATGTAATGAGATATCTTGGGGATGGGACCCTGTTCTAACCACAAAATCCATTTGTGTTTCGTGTACACCTTAAACACATAGCCTGAAGGCAGTTCTGTACAATATTTTTAGTGTACTTGTATTTTGACTGTGATGTATCACATGAGGTCAGGTATGGAATTTTCCATTTGTAGCATCATATTGACAGTCAAAAGTTTGGGATTTTGGAGCATTTCAGAATTCTGATTTTTGAATTAGGATACTCAGCCTGTATTATCAGAAATGCAAGAATGCACATTGCTTGAAACAGTTGTCTAGAAAGTAAAAAAGGAAGAAATTCCCAGAATATGTGCTAAATCAAAGTGAATGTATAATTGTCATTTAATGATTTCTGCCGAAGTATAAGGAAATATTCAAAACATTTGAGAAGTTGCACACATTGTACTCATTTTACTTTGTCATTCCCTTAAGAATCAAGAATATATGTTTGTTGGCCCAAGGATTTAGCTCAGTGGGACTGTGCCTGCCTCGAAAGCACAACGTCCTGAGTTCAGTCCCCGGTATCAAAAACAAACAAAAAAGAATATATGTTTGTCATGTACAGAATTGTTGAAATCTCCAAATTACTTGAGTTTATTGTAATGGAATAAGAACTCCCCTGGGTACAATATTCATATAATTTTTTTTTTTTTGGCACCAGGGATCGAACTCAGGGCCTTGCACTTGCCAAGTAGGCGCAGTGCCACTGAGCTACGTCCCCAGCCCCATATGAATTTTTTTTTTTTTTTTTTTGGTACCTGGGATCGAACTCGGGTCCTTGCGCTTGTGAGGCAGGCGGCGGAACCACTGAGCTAAATCCCCGGTCCCCCATATGAATTTTTAAAGCAACAGTCTTTTCTAATTATTTTAAATTAAATTGAAAACAAATATTTACAATAGAGAAATTTCATTTCAGAAGTTACATTTACATATAACATTGCAACTTTTGTGTTTTAGCTAGAAGAACCACACCTCTTTTGGACTATATTAAAAACAGAAAATTAGAAAAGCAGGTAGGTCTGGCATTTCACCTAGTGAATATCCTTCCTGTACCTGCTGTTTCCATCCAGAAAATGTATGTAACTGCTTGTCTGTACCTTTAGAGAATTCGAGAAGAGAAGCGAGAAGAACGAAGGAGGAGGGAGTTAGAAAAGAAACGCTTGCAGGAGGAGGAAAAAAGAAAAAGACGAGAAGAAGAAAGCTACAGGAGGAAAGAGGCAGATAAACAAAAGACAACTATGGAGACAGAAGTGAGGATAAAGGTAATTTGGAAAAAAATTCCGATTTTTGTTGTTGTTTTTGCCAAAATTGCTGTGCTTATTATGTCTCTTAGGTCTTTCACCTCTTTAGAATTTAAAGAGCACTTTCAGTTAGTCTCATCTGTTGCTGTGATAGCCCCTTCTTTCCATTGTACAGCCGCAGTTTTCAGGCTGTTCCCAGGGCTGTAGGTTCCTGGAGCAGTGAGGACTAGGGTGGAGGGGCACCATCCGCCCTGCGTGAAGTGCGGCACCAACGGAGAAGCTCCACATTTGAACGCCACCTGCTGAACACCTGCTTGCAGGTGTTCCTTTAAAGAAAAATTGTCCTGGCTGGACATGCACTCAGAAATACTGCCCGCCCAGCCATTCTGTGAGCTGCCTTAGGGTGGGGCCTCACCCTGTGTTCACTGGCCCCTGCGACCAGTGCGCTCCTTCGGGTGTCGTAAGGGGCTTTTCTAACGGGTATTGACCAGAACTGCCATGAGCCCTTCCCTTCTCAGGACCTCATCAAACCCAGGCTTTAGCCCAGTATGAACTTACCTCATTCCACAGAGGATTGTGAGCACTTTGTAGGGCTTCAAGAGAATTACATAATAGAAAGACAAAATATAGAAAATATCAGGACTTAGGGAAAAGGTAATGTGCCACAAATTAGTTTCTGGTATTCTCAGCAGTCAAAAACAGCAACATGCGTCCTGTGGGTTAGAAAGGAACTTTCTGAACTCTATCCCCAGAAGCACGCCGTCATCTGTATCAGGACTTGCTAGCTTCTGCTGCAGTAACGGGTAGTCCCAACATCCCACTGGCTCAGGCCATTTGCTGTTCTATGATTGTCCCCTGTGCCAGTGGGGTGTTGCTTACAGGGGTCTCCTGGTTACCTGAGCCGATGGAGACTTTGTTTTAGCATGGCCTCCACCCTCTTTACAATGAGAAATGTGTAACTTGGCAAACTGCACATGAGCTCTTAAAGATTTCCCATGGAACTGACATGTGTTGCTTCTACCCACATCTGAGTGGCCTAAACAAGTCACCTGGCCACATAACTTCAGAAGGAAAGCCTGAAACATCTGATGAAAGCAGTATCACTGATTTAATTTCCAAGAACGTAAGAGCATGTGTGCAAGAAACACTTCATGAAAGGTGTGGGACAGCAGCTAGGGAATGTTGCGCATGTCCACTGAGTGCACGATGCACAGGTAAACTGCTTGTTCCCAAGCAGCTACCCAAAGTAGTTTCTTTTAAGTTGGTTTGAGTAAGAATTTGGTACAAATCAAAGTTGTTTTAAAATTGCATGCTCCAGTAGTAACATTGATGAAATTGAGGAACCCAACCAAGTGCAAGGACAGATCCATAGGTGAAGCAGAGGTTTTTACAGGAAGCCACTCAGCAGTGTTTTTTTGTTTGTCTAGGCTTACATAAGTTTGCAAACATCACTCACCATAGGAACTGTTATTCATTCCTGTGACAAACACAGTCCTTTGGAAGATAGCTAATGAAACAAAACCTTACTATTACAGGGAAGGTCTTTGTCGCTATAAAAACTCAACTCGGTCATGTCATAATGAGGAACAAATAGGAATACTTTTGGCCAATCTTCCTTTCTGGACATAGCATACAAATAGTTTCTAACCTTCTCATTTACTTTTCTGAACAAGAAGTACTAGCTAACCTAGAATCTGATGCTGTATATTCTACAACTCACTGTTCTCAACAGCTTTTCTATTTCAAGTTTTTCTGAACCACTGAAACTTGTAGGCTAAAATTTCAGCTATAAGTAGGATTTAAAGTATTTGGAGTGTAGTGTTTTATTTTTACATGTCTGATAGTGGTATTAGAATCCAAAATAAGCCAAAAACTAAAACAAATTTGAGTCTAAAAATCCTGGGTCCTTCACGTAGCAAATAAAGTCGGTGAAGGAAGGGTAAAGCAGACCCTCAGGCTTCTGTCTTGAGGACCGCCTGGTGTGATGGGCGCGTGAGAGACTCTGACCTCGCAGGTCACTGGACCCTACATTGAGCTTTCTTTTTCCTTTACAGTGCTGGAGATTGAACATAACACTTAGCTTCTAATAAGCTGTGTCCAGTTTGAACGTCTCTGATTTGCAAATCGTCTGAGGAATTTAAACTTTTAAAAACCTGAAAAATAAGATCTGTGGAGAAATGACAGAAGAACTTGTACCAGTAGCATAAGGTTGGAGAGGCATAGAGTTACTGTGACTAGCGAAGAGAAATCCAGCACGTGGACAGCAGCCCTGCTGTTTGTGTCCTCCAAGGACTCTGAAACTGAGCAGGGAGCCTAAGTAGGAAGTTAGGTTACCAAGCTACACACAGAATCCCTGGGTATGTAATGGTGACAGTCTGGAAAAACTGTGATCTTTTTCATGAAGCTCTTTAAAAGGTGTGTGGCTTGCTTGTATGAAGGATGACTGGTAACACACACGAGCATTGCACACGTGAGCTGGATAGGAAGCTCCTGGCTCAGCAGCCTTGCATCGCACACCTGAGCCTGCAGCCCTGTCTCCTTTGTCTCTCCCCAGCTTATGTCCAGCTGTTCCTGCCGGCTTTACCTTTCCTAAACACATGGCTGTTTCTACCCCTTTGCCCAGCTCTGCCCATGGCTCTTCTCATCTCTTTTTGGTTTCCATCTTATCTCCATAGTCCCCTTGGCCCACATTTCTCCTTCTGTATTCTGGTTCACTGTATAGTCATAGCATCTGGTGCTGCCTGAGCTTCTCTTGTTCTTCCTCACCCTGTGGCCACTAACATCTTGGCCAGAATGTCCAGTGTGTTCCTTCAGTGCAGCAGGTGTCTGCCTCACTCAGCTGTGCTTCTAGTAACCAACACAGGTCTCAGCCCTGGGTTCCTGGAACACAGCTGAGACTCTTGGAATCTGCAAAGTGATGAATGTCTTGCTGGCCTTGACAGCATCAGGCTGGAGACTGGGTGCCAGAAAGACAAGGTAGGATTAAAAGGTTGAGACTTTTCTGCCTCATTCCAGCTCCCTTCCAGAGTTTCTGAAGACAGTCAGTTGCCAGTGGCCAGTAACTTAAACATGCCCATGTGGTGAAACCTCCAGAGATAAACTTAGATGGGGCTTCCAGGTTGGCAAACACATGGAGTTGCCGTTGCCGAGAAAGTTAACATCAGGGACTTGCTCCCTCAAGTCCCAAACCTCAGTCTGAATAACTCCTCTATTTGGCTGTTCTGGGTTGTACCCTTTATAATAAACCAGTAATAGAAAGTAAAGTACGTCCCTGAATTCTGTGAGCCATAGCACACTGTCAGACCCACAGGGACCAGGGTCCCCACAGAAGCCCTGGAACAGGGCAGTCTAAGGCTGAGGCTTCACAGATGGGGTCTGACCCAGACTCAGTACCTGGTGTCGGGGTGTTGTGAGTGAAAAGAGCCGCACAGAATCACCAGTGGGTCCAGTAGAGCTGCTGCCTTGGTTGGAACTTGCATTTTAGGTCATGCTTCTGGGCAGTGGAGTAGAAGGCAGTGCGCACTTGATGAGTGACACCGTCTTGCATTGGGAGCGGGCTGGCTCCGTGGAGTATGTGAATAGTCTGGCTCTGTGTGTTCCCTTTTATGAGGGTGGGCAGAATTCTCCAGAAGTGCACCTTCCACTTTTTTTTTTTTTTGGTATCGGGGATTGAACTCGCGTCCTTGCGCTTGCGCAGCAGGCGGGGAAACCACTGAGCTAAATCCCTGGCCCTCACCTTCCACTTTTGTACAAACAAGTTCTAGCAGACTTGGCCATGGAGACCTGCAGAAACCCAGATGCAGACGTCAGAAGTGTCAGAGCAGCTTGCTATTTATGTCTCAAGGAACAGAAAAATGTTTAGAAAACTATAAGCTATCATAAAGATCATCAATGTAAAAGAACCTTAAAAGTTTTTGTTTACCTTTTAACAAAAATGATACTTGTTTATTTTGGAAAAAGCCATAGCTCAGCGGTGGCAAACCTGTGGCACACATGTCACAGCAGGCTGTTTGTTACCATTGAAAGCTCCAAAAGGTTCACATCACTACCATAGATAAATGGAAAGAATCGCCTGAGCCCTGCCCCTAATGATGATCCCTGTCAGCAGTGTTGCAGAGTGTACTGCACATAGCTTTGTATTTGCAGATGCATCTCCCATGATACCCTGAGATTTTTTTTTCAGTTCTAGGGATTGAACCCAGGGCCTTACACATGCTAGACAAGCAGTCTACCATTGAGCTATATCCCCAGCCCTTTTTTTGTTTGAGACAGGATCTTGCCAAATTGTCCATACTGTCTTCCAGCTTACATCCTCCTGGCTCAACCTCCTGAGTTGCTGGCTTGTGTGTTCTTTTATTAACTGTTAAGGGCATCTTTTCATTACATTGTCATATATGGTTTTCATAACTACAGAATATTTCATTAAATGTTCTGCTATGTATTAAACCAAAAATCTATTTTTTGAACCTTTAGTTTAATTCTTTTGTTATTCAAACATTTGGGCTTAATATTGGTATATATTTTCATTATTTAACAATCTTTATAATGTGTTCTTTGGTGATATTTTACTAACATTGTAATTTCTCAGCTTCTTAAGAAACCAGAAAAGGAAGAGGAACCAGACACAGAAAAACAAAAAGAAAGAGGCGAGGAAGTCAGCATTGGAGATGGAGAACAGGAAACCTGTGCCCCCTGCACCTTCGTGAGAGCCAGGCCTTCAGAGAGCCCAGTAGGGGTGCCCAGGGAGAAGTGAGTGCACCTTCTGCTGCCCTGAGGCATACGAGTGTGTGTGCCTCCCGATGTTCTAGGATCTGAGGATTGCCTCAGGATGTGCCCGCACATGTTTACTTTGCTTCTCATCAGTTGTACCAGGAGCCTAGTCAATGTTGAGCTCGCGGTGTCAGGTTTCCTGTTCCTCCTCCTCCCCAGCCCTGTCTTGGGCCCCCTTCCTGCACCTTCTCTTCCTTCATCATGACCTGCACCAGTCTGTCATTTTCTTCTGTCTTGAGTTTTGTGCCCTTCGGCTCTGCCACCCTTCCTGCATAATTATCTGCATAGTTGTAAATTTGAGAACCCAGTCCGAGGGGCAGCCAGCTTTTTGTGGTAGACAAGCAAAACTTCAGTGCTGTGGTTCTCCTTGGCCTTGCCTTCTGCTGGTCTTGCCTTGTTTATTCCCTTTGTCAGCTTGCAGCGTGCCTGTGGAACTCTGCGTCCGTGATGGGAAGACACAGCCATCCCTGCTGGCTGGGCTGATGAGAACCCAGCCCTGTACCCTAACCCCACCTCCAGCACGTGTAGCCGGGCTTGCTGCTGACCAGCCTTCTGCCACGTGCTGCATCCTGGCACAGGTGTCCCTGGCACTCAGGGCTGCACTGCTTGGGGGGAGGGGGGAGTCACAGGGTGTCTCAGAATCACAGACTCTTTCCCTCTTCTCAGGGGTTTTGGTTTATTGCTTTGTAAAATGTATACACGATTATGGGTTCCTTTTAGCCGAGTGATGTATGCTGTGCTGTTTCAGTGCCATTGCTTGGTAGAGCAGTGCCTGTTGCTGTCTTGGTGGCCTGGAGTCCTGCTGGACTTGGTGATCCTCCCTGTCCTCACCACAGGTCTGTGGTGTCTGAGCCACAAGTGGTGTGTGAGGACTTTGCCCGTGATTCACGGAGGCAAAGCTCCAAGAGCCCAGTGAGCTAAGCAGCCATCTATGTACTCTTCTTTAATAGTGTGATATATGCAGAAATCCGTCTGGCATCATTACCCTTCCGTTAATTTAGCAGAAAAATTAAGAATTTAAGCTGTTAGGGCTGCATTGTGGCGGGCAGAGTCTGAGCACCTAGGAAAGTCCCTAAGCGTTGCTAGTCCCATTCACTTCAGCTGTAGAAGGATGGCTGTGTTTACTTTCTGTGTGGTCACTTATCATTTGTATTGACTCACAGGTCCCATGATGACAATGACAAAGAGCAGAGGGACATGGAGAGAAGAATCCAAGGACCTGAAACACCAGAATGCCACTCAGATGATGTTAGAAAGCACAGTGGTCACTCTGAGTTTGACAGATTTCCTAGAAGGAATGAAGATGAGCTGAGATGGAGGAGAGGGATTCATCCAAGACAGAGGGAAGAAGAAGAGCCAGGATGGGGGCATCCCTGTGGGGACAGCAGAGAGCCCTGCCAGGGAGCAGGAAGGGGCCTGCAGCCCGGCACTCGGAAGGGAGCGCCCAGGAAGTAGGGCCCTGTAATCCACTTGTCTGCGCCCTGAGTGGGCACTGTGCTTCTGCAGGTTCACAACCACTGTTTCCAAACAAATTCTCTTATTAAATCAGGTAGGAATCTGTCTGGGTGTGTTGAGGTCCAGGATTGTGCCCTGACTCGGTCACCCACGTGGCCTCTGACAGTTTCTGGACCTCTTCATTGGCCAGTGTCTCTTCGGCATTTTCACTCATGCAGTCTACCCCAAGTCTGGAGGCAGCCCCAGGGTAAACCTGCCATCACCTGCTCTCAGAAGCAAGTTGTTTCTCACCAAGAAGAGTATTTTATTTAGTATAAAGCTAGAATTTTATAGTCTACTTATGAATGAGATTATAACATCTACCCTTAAGTTAGTAAGGAAAATATAACATCCTGTGGATCCTCCTTTGTTATTGACCACGAGCACTTAAAGCCTGTTCTGCTCAGGTGGGAACACCATGCAGGGTTCCCACTGAACCAGGCCAATAGATTTTTCTTTCCAAAGTTTGAAGTTTACTTTTTCTTTTTCTTATTTATTTATTTATTTTTTTGGTATGGTACTAGGCATTGAACTTGGGACCTTGCACTTGCAAGGCAGGTGCCAGAACCACTGAGCTAACTCCCCAGCCCTGAAGTTTACTTTTGTCCGCTCACATTTTCCCAGAGTATGGCTGGTGCCGTTACTCCTGAGGCCAGTTTCCACACTGGGAGCTATGTCTGTCCTCTACATGATTGTGGCATCTTAAGAATGTAGGGCCTTGGGCCGAGGATTTAGCTCAGTGGTTCCTCTGCCTGCCCTACAAGCACAAAGACCTGAGTTCAATCCCCAGTACCAAAAACAAAGAACAACAATGAAAAAGAATGTAGGGCCAGGGATTTAGCTCAGTAGTTCCGTCACCTGCCTCGAAAGCACAAGGACCCAAGTTTGACCCCCGGTACCAAAAAAAAAAAAAGAATGTAGTGTGAACGAGAACACAGTGTGACCCCCTCAACCAACTGTCCTCCCTCGCCTACTCTCTTCAGACCCACCCTGGCTGCTGTGCGTGGATGGTGTTCATGGATAACCTGTCCAGGAAAGGCCAAGAGAGCCTTCGGGCCTTCACCAGTAACCCACAGTCTCCGTTAACCACAGGGAACAGTCATGTTTGCAAGGCCACGTCTCTTTCACCCTCCTTTGTGTTTGAACAGCAGTGGGTGGTTTGGGTGCCCACAGACCTCTAAGTGGGGCCCATAAGGACTCCTCCTGCCTGACAGCAAGGCACTGTGGAGTAACTGCTTCCATGAGGCCTGGCAAGGAGTGTGTTCAGGATCAGACTGTACCTCCATCTGAGGACACAGCCCTTCGGGTTGGGGGAGGCAACCTGATGGGGCTGCACACATATCCCAGGAATAGTCAAGGTGAGTGGAATATCTTAGAGAAAGTGGACCGACCCATAGGTTTCCTGGCGGGTGCACTTGGGCTCTCGCGGTGGCTGGGAAGGATGATGCAGGGAGCGTGAATTGGGCTCCTGTGCAGGATAAAGCTGACTTGGACTTAAATGTCCACCAGAAATAAACTACAGCCTGAACCATAGTGCAGCCATCATGGGCTTCATTTTGTCCTACACCTGGCAAGGAAGGGAACACTGGGGAGCTTCTGTTCCCCTCTGTGGTGAATCTCATTTCAGTGTCTTAGCCTGAGAAGCAGGGATGGTGTTCACCTTGGGCTGCAGGGGTCATGTCATTCATACCCAAGCAGTTTGTTTTCTGGTTTTCCTGTCTTTAAAACTAAGGCCATGTAGGGCCGGGGATTTAGCTCAGTGGTTTTAACACCTGCTGCACAAGCGCAAGGACCTGAGTTCGATCCCCAGTACCAAAAAAAAAAAAAACTAAGGCCACGTCAGAGACTAACATGAAGTGTTAAGTAGAGCTGCTTGATCTCGTTAACACATTAGTAGTAAACAATGAAGTTTATTTTCAGAACGATATTCCAGAGCTGCAAGGTTTTTTTTTTAAACATAATTCATCTTAATTAAATCCACCACTGTCCCAAATGACAGACATTTGCTGTGTATTCTACCTGTACTGAAAGGTGGTCAATTATGCCTCCAACATGCACAGGACCACCTTCCCAGCAGTGCACACCCCTTGGCAGCCCTCACTCCTTGGGTGCCAGCCTGTTGTCTGGGAGCTGTCTGGCCCTCTAGAGGGACTTGGTCTCCGACGGGAATGGAGATATCTAGGGGCTGTGATGGCTTTGGTTCCACCAGGCCGGCAGACACCGGCCCCACTGGCCCCTCCACACACATGCATTCAGCTTGCAGTAGAGATGGGTCCTGGCCAGCCTGAGAGCCACGACAGGACCAGAGAACATGGCACTACTCATTGATGTCAGCAAAAGAGAACTCGGAGGGAAATGGATCCTGAGTGTAGGAGTCCAGAGGAGAAAGGACTGCTGGCTTGGGCTGGATGTGTGGATAGCTTATTGGTCTAAATATCGGAGGGGAGTTCTCATTGCTTTCTCAGTTGGTTAAAAGCAGCCCTGACTTGGGTGGCACATGAGGCTAAGATGCCAAAATTTCCCATCAAACAGGGTTAGGGACGCTGGGATGAACTAAATGCTACTTTCTTGACTCCAAGGGCCGAATCTCTCCCCAAAATACACCAGTGAGGAAACCTCAGTGTCTTTGAAAATGCTTTAGTGCAATTAAAATGGGCTGCTTGTAGGTTGAAAAATGCCCCTAAAGGACATCCACATGCTAATCCCTGGGACCTACAGCAAAGGATCTTGGCAGATTAAGTTGATTATCCTAGGTTGTCCAGGTCAGCCACACGAGGGAGGAGGAGAGCGGCTTGCTGTCTTGTCCATTGACACCTGCAGCCACTAGTCAGAGAAGCAGGAAATGGGTTCTCCCCAGCCCAGAAGGGGCACAGCTCTGCGAGACTGAATCAGTCTTCTGACCTCCACAGTTACTACTTCAAGCACCTTTCCCTTTAAAAAAATATATATCTACAGTCTTTATTTTTGTGGTACTGGGGATTAAACTCAGGGCCTTTGCACTGAACTATATTCACACCCACACCCCCTAGACAAAGCCTCACTGAGTTGCCTGGGGTGGACTTGAACTTGTGACCCTGCTGCCTCAGCCTCCTGGAGTGCTGGGATTCCAGGCATGCACTACCATGTTCCCCCCTTTTAAGTCCCTAAATCTGTAGCAACTTGTACAGCATCTCCTAATACAGTTTCCCTAATTGGAGAAAAAAATCTAGGATTGAGTCAAAACCAGCAAGATTACCATTGTCATCAGAATGGCCTAGCTCCCATGTTTGATTACTGATTTCAGAGTACTGGGGTGAAAGAGAAGAACTGCCCACTAAATTCCTACTTGATTTGCACAGCTAAAATCCATTTCAGGTCTGGGTTCTATAGGCCTGGCTTGAGCATCCATGAAAGAGACATGGCCCTTCAACCAATTTCTAGACAAGAATAAATCCACAGACACCCTTAATAGGAAAGTAGAACCCTCCAAGGATATACGGATGTGCACTGCTGAGACAGGGAGAAGAGCAAGGACAAGGGAGCTACAAGAAGCCACAGAGACAACTAGAAAAGCAGACAGCAAGCACAACTGTCAAAGGATCAGGAAGCCAACACGTAGAAGTCCGGGAGCCCCCCACAAGGCCCCCAGGCAAGTACAAAACCAAAGTTACCCTGACCTGATCCAACCTCACCTGCATTGCAGGTTTGACCCCCTGCTTGTGGGCTTCAGGTGTCACAACGTTTGAAAGACCTTGCATGGTCAAAAACTTCCCCTCCCAACGGGCAGGCCCAGTCAGGCACCCCAGCAGCCAGCCCCAAGTGTGGGCCCGGTCATAACCCTAGGACCTTAACAGACTCTGTGCCTGCTGCTGTTGGGGCAGGAGCTCCTCTCACTAGCCCGCTCACACCCTGTGGAGTGTACTTTTGACTCTTTGACTTGGAGTAAATATTATTCGTGTTACTCCTTCTGAGTGTCCTGCCCTCTATCTGATAATACTGTGACTTCCTCCTACAGGTGTTTACCTCATGTTGGCAAATCACACAGCTTGGTAATATATTCGGTGACAAGGCTGCATCATTCTTGTAGTCAGCACCTCAGCTCCCTGAGCAACCACGGACTTGACAGTTCCATGCAGAAGGACCAGTGGGGTGTCACAGTGGTATCCAGACTAGGGCTGACACTGCTGTGAGTCTGGATGGTCTGCAGTGGTTGTGCCATGGATAGCTGGTGCCACCTGCTCCCCTTCTGTTAGTAGCCACCAGAAGGTAGTTCCTTCCTGTGTCCGGTGCAAGGATGCCACCTCTGTCTCCACGTCTGCCTTCCTGTGGTTCTATTGTGCCTCTGCCCCTGGCTCCTTGCTCTCATACTTGCAGCAAGAACATCCCACAGGAGCGTTCCCAAAATGCAACCCCTCCAGCCACCAGGCCTTTTGTGACAGGCATACCCGTACGGTGCCTGGCTACACCTGTGTGTGGACACGGGCAGAGGCTACTCCCTCCCTGGACTCCCTCCACAGGTGCCTGGCTCCCTAGGAAAGTCTCAGGCCTTTGCTGAACTGTTGCCTACCTTTGGGGCTCACAAGCATGCCAGACCAGCTGCACTGTTTGCTTCCTATCCCAGAGCCTGTGCTGTTCCACCCTCACACATGCCCACCCAGTGAACAGACCAAGACACCCCTCACTAAGTCTCTCCTGGTGATACCACTGGGCAGGACCAGGGCTGACTGCTTGAGCTTCTGTGAGCCATCCCTGGTGCCAGATAGAGGATCTACTGTCAGCAGCCTCCCCTGAGCTACTGCACACCACAACTGGGCAGGCCCTCGGCTCCCTTACAACCCCCATTCAACGCATCTGAGGCTCAGGAATGAAAGGATGAAGGAGCAGCTGTGGCTGCCTGGTGCACAAGTGTCTAGGACATCCTGAATTTGTGCTGTGCACACACTCAGAGCTCCCTTCTGCTGTCAGCCAGGCACTTGCTGTGCTGCTGCTTATTCAGCAGGAAATTTCTGTGGGTTTTCCTCAGTTCTCCTGGGAGGGTCATTTCTTGTGTCAAACAGAGAGAAACCATCCATGACTTTCAAATACCCTGCTCACAGAAGCCTACCACAGAGTCCAAAGAGAGCCCCAGAAACAAGTCCAGAAGTAGCCTGGCTCAGCCATACCAAAGCGGGCACCAAAACCCTCATTGTCAACATTTGGAATACAGAAGGGATCTGGCTGAATCCTTTGGGCAGGCTGCTAGTACTAGTGTGACACAGTCCTGAGGGAGGTTTGCAGAGGGTCCAGGGCTAACCGTGAGCAGGACCTGTCCATGGCCCGGGCGGGGTGGGGTGGGGGTGGTGCTTGGCCCAGGAAGCTACACTGAGTTGGCCAACAGCAAAACTGCCAGGCTCAACTCTGGACTAGGAATCACACTGCACATATTGTGGCATGGAGTGTAAGCTGTGTCTGACTTTCTCCCTTTCCCCAGCCCCCAGAAGATGGTGGAGAAGCCAAATGCAGCAGGTTCTGAGCAGGAAAGCACAGGTTGGGCTTGGCCAGGAGCTTGTCCCAGTTCGGGCCAGCGTGGGGCAGTGGTTCCCTGACACTTGGCCCTCAAGGCCCTTGCTCCTGCGTCTCTCAAAGAAATGTTCATATTTCAGTTTTACATAATTGTATCCTGAGGGTTTTTCTATTTCCTTGACAGAAAAACGTGTATATTTTTATACAGCAAGTTGGTGATAATGTTGAAGCTGGTGAGGATCCGTTACATTACTCTCTTTTGGAAGGAAATTTTGTTTCAGGTAGATGGGGATGTTTTCCCAATTGGTTCATCTTTTGGTGAATGGAATGAAAACTTGAATACATTTTCCTAGTATAATAAGGCAGCTTTGGACAATTCCAGTTTTCCATTTTTATTTATTTAATTGCTAAGAGACCTTGTTTACATTGTAAAAAGGAACAGAAATTGTTATATTAATACCTCTTAATTTTAAAATTTCCTTCAAGTTATGTGTCAAAATGTTTATAGTTCTCTAAAATCAAAAATTACTTATAATGGCATAATAATTCTAATAATTCTGATTTTATTGAAAGCAAAGAATTATCAATTACCTGACTCTATTGAAAGGGTTTTAACCACCAGAGTCATCCAGTTTCTCAGTTCTGAGAAAGGTGTCTAGGACTGTCAACTAACTTAACCAAACCTGCAGCTCTTTTCTGTTGGTGAACAGTTTAACCCAATAAACTCAGACAGGGTTGGGGCCACAAGAATCAGAGAAGTAACTTCAATACATACTTGCCAGTACTACTTTTTGTTTGTTTTTTGAAGACAAAGTCTCGCTTTGTAGCCCAGGCTGGCCTTGAACTTGTGGCGATCCTCCTGCCTCAGCCTCCAAGTGCTGAGATTACAGTTATGTGGCAGCCACCATGCTTGCCTTAGTATTACATTTTTTTGGTAAATAATTTAATGATAATAGAAGATTCATTTCTTTAAACACAATATTTCAAGTTCTATTTTTGTCTGCAGTATAGATCTGAAATGGTACAAACTGTACCCTAATATTGAACCACAAATTAACCAAACAATAAAAAAATTGTTTGTCTTTCCATTCTTCACTTCCAATTGCTTCAGACTTACTATTGGAAATATTAAGTTAAATCCTTAATGGACTGTCTGAGAACAGATCTGCCAACTGGGCTGCCTGGGACCAGCCCCTAGGTACCACGCAGGGGACTCTAAGCAGTTTCCTTCCTGCTAGCAGGGAACTATTTTTCCTATTTTACTCCAATTCTGGCCTGGTCAGTTGAAGCACTACCAAGTAGCCACTGACATTTAATTATGGAGAGAGGAGTAAAGTAGAAAAATAGTTTTCTTGTAAAGAAAAAGTAAAGTGAGGCTCTGAGAGGCTGAGGGAGGAAAACTGCAAGCCTGAACCCAGCCTGGGCAACTTAGTGATTTAATGAGACCCTGTCTCAATAAAGAGCTGGGGATGGAGCTCAGTGCAGAGGCCGTGGGTCCATCTGCAGTACCTCTAAAAAAAAATGAAGAAGAAAGAAAGAGTAAACAGAGGACCAGCTATAGCTCAAGCATCCTTGCCCGGAAGTACATAGCTCTTAGCCCTCCACACTTGGCAGCACCTTGCTTTACTGACCTATGGCTCCTGGCACACTGGCTAAGAGTTGCCAGAGGCTCGACAGATTACTAGGACTACATTTTGAAAGAGTGTTTAAATGTATGTTTTGCCAAAGCTGTGGATTGTAGATTTAATTCATCCAATCTCTGAAAAATAGTTCCCATGTAATCTTTGTCAGTTAATCCTTATCAATGCAATCAGCCAAATCAGGCTTATTTTCTCAAAAAAGTTTAACTTTATTATCAAATAGTATGACATTTATATCTCAAAATGAGACTTTGCTATTTTAAAATATGAACACATCTGGTGAATATTACAGGCAGTAAGTCAAAATCAAAATTATACTGCTCTAGTAGAACAGTCCGTGCTTTATTACAAATATAGAACAATGCAATAGAAAGGTAGCTAAGCATTTGAGTTACCCATGAAGCAAGCAACATAATAGTGCGAGTTATATATTGTCAGTGTGTGTGTATGTCAGTATGTAAAATCTAGCTTGGGGATTCTGGGGATAATGAAATAAGATTAATTTTAAAACTCATAAATAAGTACTTTAGTTTTGTTTTATATCCTGACCAAACAATTTGTATGCATTTAATAAAAAATTAAAGTATGTACTACTGTTCGGTAACTGACATATAATTTTGTTTCTTAATTAGTGGGAGGAGGAAATAATAAAGTACTTAATTGGACAAAGAATGACATAATTCAGGAAACATATTTGATTTAAAAATCTTTTAACTATCTGAATGATTACTGCAGACTTATCAGGGAGAAATCCCGTAAGATTTTCCCTGCAGGTTTGTGGAATGGACTTGGGAGGAATTCGAGTTGAGTTTTGCAACAAGCTTACTTCAGGCTCTTGCCAAAGCCACAAGCCTGTCTCAGCTTCTCCTTTGATCAATTCACTTCTTAATAAGATCTGAGAAAACTTTGAGGTGTTCATTGTATGTAAAAGTCATGTTTTTAGCTTTATGAAAAATCATTCTCTTTTTTTACATCATCTTAATATATTAAAGTACTGAAAATCATTCTTTAATTTTATACTCAAGTGCTTAACTGTTTCTCTTAATCTGACTGGGTTCCTGGTCTCCTCCTTCTTCCCCTTCCCCTTCCCCTCCCCCTTCTTCTTCTTTTTCTCTTCCCCTGCCCCATCCTTTTCCTTCTTTTCTTCTTTTTTGAGACAGGGTCTATGTAGTTCTGGATGGCCTTGAATTCATTACTTAGTCCATGGTGGCTTCAAACTGGTGTTAATCTTCCTGCCTCAGCCAGCCAAGTGCTAGGATGCCAGGCATGTAGCACCAAGCCTGGCATGATCTTCATCCCATGAAGCAGGTATCATCTTGAAGCTGGAAACTCTGAGGACCCCAGACAGACCACTCTTAACACAAAGATAGGAGCAAAAGCGACTTGCAATGCTGATGGCTCATTGAGTCACTCCTATCAGTCTTGAGAGCCCTGAATAGAAATTTGTTCTTTATGTAGCTCTTTTTACATCTACAAGGCTTACTTTCTTTTCTTTTTTTTTGTATATCCTTTTATTGGTACATTTTAGGTGTACAATATAATGACATTCATCATTGGAGATATGTACCTTTACATACTCTCTTGGTTCTTATTTTCTCCCCCTCCCCCTGCCCTCCCTTCAACCCCTCCATCCCTCCCTATTTACAAAGTACGAGGCTTACTTTCATTCGAGTTTCTCTGAGAATATAGCAAGCAGGACTTACACAAAAAAGAGCAGCAGGTGTGTGTGTGGGGGGAGCAAAGAGTTCTTGGTGACAGATTACAGAAATTGTCATGGCTACTCAGGTATATTCCACAAAGAGTGTAGTTACCTAGTTAACCCATAGTTGCCTATTAACACACTTAACCCATGGTCACCCAATTCCATACAAAGGGATGGCCTCCTCTCATTCTGAGGCATGTTGGCAGTGGGCCATTTGAATGCCAAGATCACAGATTAGTGAGTGAAAAAGATGGATTCTTACCTCATTTCTGGCTGTGCCAAATCACTGGTCCTGTCATTGTGTTACCCTTGAGCCTAAATGCTAACCTACTTCCAGCTTACTAAAGGAATAGCCTAGCAATGTGGATAGCCCTTCTTAAACTCAAGAAATTCCCAATGTATCATTTGTATGAGCTGTAACGTCATGGTACCTTCTGCTTGCCTGAGAACAATCCTGTCTGGAGTTCCCTTGCTGTCTGAGGTGGGCTTAGCAGGCCGAGAATCATACATATGGATGGAGGTTCCATGAGTGAAGTAGTCAGAGTCCCTTGGTGTCTAGGTCACCTGCTGGAGCAACCTTAAACTCTCTTAATGAGTCTCAGGAGGTTATGTGCAGAGGTGGCTACCAGGGCATGTGCTTTGAGAGCAGGAGTAGGACTACTAGCTGCCCTAGAGATCCCTAGCTGTGAATCCTGCTCCCCACCCTCTCTCAGGAGGCTTCTGTGGGAGAAGGGAACTTGGGAAGAGCGGGGTGGGAGGGGGGGCATCCCCACGGGAGCTTGCAAGAACTGTGGCTGGCCACTCCCTACCTTCTGAGTGTTTAGGACACGAAGGTTCTCTTCTGTCCTCCCTCACCTGGAGCTCAGTCTCTTCCAGGTGAATGTTGAGCAAATATTTAGAGAATACCACCTTACAGGGAGCCCAACTCTTAGCCCCCTGGGCACCCATGTGACTCAATCAGGCAGTTTCAGTCCTCTCCCTCCCTACGTCTGGACAGATGGAATTTAAAGAATTGTGCCCTCATCCCCAGGTTAAAAACTGCATCATATTTTTGTTAAAACCGTGTTATTAGGACATTTCTTCATCACAGCCAGCAATTCATAATTTTCAGCCCCTTTCCCTCGTAACAGACTAATGAGGTGGATGATATTATTCCCATTTTAAAGACAAAGAAAGTAAGGCAAGAGAGGTGAGGTGCTCTCCTGTGTGGAAGGCAGTGCTTCACATCCCATGAGGCAATTTCTCTTGCTACAGCCCCAGCAGGGCAGGGAGGGCTTGGAGTGATGTGGTTCATAATGCTGGCTCTCAATCATAGCTGTCTTTAGGAGGACTGAGAGCTCCATACACCTGGCAGGCCTGTGCTCGGCCTCAGAGACTTTACTGGCTTGACTGGAGTGGGCCAGGGACTGATGTGTTCAAAGGCTCCAGGCTATCCAATGTGCAGGGCTGAAGACCACCAATGTGTGACATGATCTCCATAAGGGAATGCTGGGTAGCACCTTTGGAAAATTTTATATTTCAGAAATAGGACACACCAGTCTCTGCCTTCTAGAAGCTCCTGCTCTGGAGGGAGACATAGGACTCTGTTGGGGCCAGCAAAGTGGGGGAGGAGGGAGAAGGCTTCTTTCATGAAAAAATGGCTTTGACCAGGACCCAGCCTTGCTTCTGCAGTGACAGCAGGAAGGGCATTGGTACCACATCTGTGAAGTCGGATGCTACTCCCTACTTGCTAAGCTCAGGTGCCAGGAGAGGATCTACCATCATTATTTTCAGGGCAGTTGCAAGTTGGCTCTTCACCACTTAGGGATTTGATAGCAGGGTCTGTTATGGCTTGTATCTAGATGTCACCTCAAAGCCTCTTAAACTTACAGGTGGGACTTTTTGGAGCTGGCTGGATCTAGGGCATAGGATACTGGGATTAAGGGTGTGTGGTACTAAATTAGTTCACTGATTAGAATTAGTGTAGTTCTGAGTGGCACCACCCAAAAGGCTGATACCCACCCTGGATGGGATAAAAAGGAAAGGCAGGCAGGCTGCTGCTGCTTGATGCCTGTTGCTTTCTGATTGCCACACCATGGACTGTTTCTCCTCTGTGATGCCCCCTGCTATGACACCCTGCCTCAGAGCCAGCTAACTATGGGCTGAGCACCTTCTTCTTTGACTTTCAGTATTGGGTATTTTGTCTCAGCAATGAAAAAAGTAACTAAGACAGGGTCCTAGCTCTTTTCTAGGAAGAGGGAGGCCATAAAATCCTACATTTTTATTACTTATTTTCTCTACTAGTGGTCAACATTCATGTGCGTACAATTCAAACTGAGTATAAAGTAATAATGGCATCTAGACCTTATTGAGGATGTTCAGTGTGCTAGGCACTGTACCAGATGCTGTGCTATGCCTTATGACAGAAGTGCCACAGTGCTGCCCTATTTTACACATAAGGAAAGAGCTCATTCCAATTCATATTCACACACGTGTGCACACATACTCTGACTTCACAAACACAGCTCCTAAGCACTGGTTTTTTTTCCCTCTCTCTCAAGCATTACAGCCATAAAGCCGTATCTTTGCCAGTGCTCACCTCAGTCCTGGTGATGGCCAGGTGGTACAGGTCCTTGCTGGGAAAGGGTGCCTGGTTGTAGGCCACATAGAGAGTACTGGGCAGCAGAGAGCTTATGGCCCCCTCTAGTTCCATGGCCACCAGCAGTATCCAGGCTAGCCAGTCTTGATTCTCACCACTCCTGGTTTCTTGTTACCAGCAAGCAGGTGACTAGTGTTCTTGAGGCAGCCCTGGAACCAAAGTGCCCTCTGCTGCCCCCTCCATGGGAGCACAACAGTGCTCTTGGAAATAGCTGGCTGTGACTGTCACCGTGAACTGGCCACACGTGAAGTGCTCCACCTGATCACTGGCCCAAGTCTAGTTCTGGGGAGCCTTTCACTTACTCCTATATTCAGCTGGTACTGAGCACATGTCCTGTGTCAGGATGTTATACAGTAGCTTGAAGCTAAAAGTAGAAATAAATATCTTAGTAAAGGTTAATACATGGATAATTATAAAAGCTAGTATTATTGTAATAAACAGTTGGTAACTCCCCTTTTCATTTTTTATAGGATTTAAGAGATTAATACAATAAAAACAATTATTAATCTAAAAGATAGTATTATTATAACTTTGTTTTGTAATTCCATATTTGGTTTTCTACATAATTTAAGAGGCTAGTGCATTTCCCAAAATTGCTGGTTTACATATTGGGTCACATAATGTATAGGAAGTAATTTTGTGAAATCAACAACCAAAGTGCAGGGAGGAATGGAGCTGTTAAATCATCAATGTTTTGTATGTTATGAAGTTAAACTGGTATAAATTTGACTTAGAGTGTTATAGCTTTACAGTGTTAAATGTGAGCTCCACAGCAACCACAAAGAAAATAGCTACAGCATATATAAAAAAAAAAAGAAAAGAAAAAAGCTATATAGAAAACAAATAGCAAAACGACATTAAGTCCCTTCTTATCTGAATTACTTTCAATGTAAGTCAAACAGAGATTGGCAGACTGGATTTTAAAATGATCCAACTATAGGCTCTGCACAAGAGCATCACTTTAGGTCCAAAGATAGAAATGGAATCAAAGTGACAGGATAGAAAAGACTCTGTACCATCAACAGAGCTAAGAGACAACCTACAATGTGGGAAAAAATTTTTAGCAGCTGTACTTCAGACAAAGGACTACTATCTAGAATAGGTAAAGAACTGAATAAAATCAGACCTCTCAAATTTAAAGACTCAATTCAAAAATGGGCATCTGAAATGAACAGACATTTCTCAGACAAGTAAAAGCAGCAAATAAGCATATGAAAAAATGTTCAACATCACTGGTCATTCGAGAGATGCAGATGAAAACAACACTGAGATTCCTCCTCACCCCATAAAGAATGGCTGCTATCAAGAAATCAACCAATAATAAATGCTGGTGGGGCTGGGGGGAGAAAGGAACCCTTCTCCACTGCTGGTGAGAGTGCAGACTGGTGCAACCACTGTGGAAATCAGTATGGAGATACCTCCAAGAACTAGGGCTGGGGGTCCCATTTGACCCAGCTATTCCCCTGCTGGGTATCTTCCCCAAAGGATTAAAAGAATCATACCACAGCGATATATGTGCACCCATGTTTATAGCGGCACAGTTTGTAATAGCTGAAGCTTGGAAGCAGCCCAAGTGCCCATCACCTGGAAACTGGATAAAGAAGATGTGGGTTTTTTAATAAAATGGAGTACTACTGAGCCATAAAGAACGAGAAACTAGTCATTTATAGCTAAATGTATGCATATTGAGGTGATACTCTTAAGTGAAATAAATAGGACACACGTGTAAATACCGAATAGTTTCTCTAGTGTGAGAAACTGAAAGTGTAAATAAGGATTAAAATGATTAAAATGAATAATTGATGATTTGAAATAGGAAGAAAAGGTCCAAAGGGGTAGGGGTGGTAGGAGGGGAAGGGGAAAGGAAAGAAGGGAAAGGAAAAATTATGAGAAAAGAAAAAAATGGAAACAAAGTCTATGTAAATAGGGAAGGGTGGAGGGGGTGAAGGCCGACAGGCAATGGGGAAAAAATAAGAACCAAGATACATGATGTACGGGTGCAAACACCCAATGATAAATGTAAACACATTGTATACCTAAAATGTACCAATAAAAGAACTTAAGCAAAAAGAAAAGACTTTATATTCAAACAGCACCAAGAGAGACCAGGGTGGTTACACAAAACAGACTTTACACAAAAGTTACAAGAAACCAAGACAGACATTACATATCAATAAGTTTCAATACAGTAAGAGTATTTAAGAATTATACACATTCGATGACTGATCATCAGCAGAACAGAAGAAAGTTTACCATAGTGAAAGACCCTTGTTAGCAAGACAGACTCCATATTGCTGCTTGACCCACCTGCCTGCCCTTTAGATGAACTCAGAAGGAGGAAGCTTAGAAACCTCCTCCCCTTAGAGAGTCTCTTAGAAACAACAATTAATCAACTATTGTTTTACAAATGTTCTAACAGCAGGACGTTCCGCTTCTGTACCTTTTGCTTGCTTTACTAGTTCTATCCCATAGGGGGGCCTAGAAACTGCTGGCCTCAAAGGTGTATAAAACATGTTTGTCAACCCCCAGTCGAGGCGCGAGTACGATGCTCGGCTCGGGTCCCGGCCGGTAATAAACTCCTGTGTGGATTTAATATCGGCCTCTGGTTGGTTCTCTCTCACTGGGTGTAACACAGCATTGGTGAAACCCCTACCCACAATATGGGACAGGGACAGAGAAAGCAGATAGAAGTCAAAAAACAGGAGAACAACCCAATAAACGAGCTACATCTAAAAGATAAAGAACACTCTAGTTGATAGCAACCGCATACACGCTGTCAAGTGCACACGGGATGGACCACGTTTAGGCCACAAAGGTCAGTAATTTAGCCAGTAGATTACCTCCTCCCGCCGGCCCCACCTCCCCCAGCCGGCCCCACCTCCCCCAGCCAGGTCCCGGCCCCTCCAGCGGGCCCCACCTACCCAGCGAGGCCCCGCCTCCCCCAGCCAGGCCTCCCCATACCCAGCCAGCTCCGCCCCCTCCAGCGGGCCCCACCTACCCAGCCAGGCCCCGCCTCCCCCAGCCAGCCTCCGCTGGGCCCCGCCTCCTGACCAAGCACCTGTGTACTCTGCATGAGGTTGGCGCCGTCACAATCCTGTCACCTCTGGGTGTCTCTTACTCTGCTCAAGTTGATAATCATGTTTAAACCGCACAATCTAAAATTAGTAAGCATAATGAGTCAGTAGCCAATCCCTCCCCCGCAAAAAAGCAAAACTTCAGAAAGGACAGAGGTGTATAAAGTATTATAACAAAAAAAGCTTGTAACAGACATCAAAACTAGAGGTGCGTGCATTTTAATTGGAAATGAGGCAGCATTCACACGAACAAAAACGAAGACGGAGGAGATAGTTCCTGGGTTTGTAACTTCTGGCGGAGGAGGCGCGGTGAAAACCACTGTCTTCCAATAACTATTATTCGTCTTGTGTTTCCATCAGGGGATTTTTGCCAAGGACATCCTGGGACTGCAAGGGGCAGCGTTCTAGCTCTGTAATTCACCCATACAACAACAGAAAAAAGGGGGAAAAAGGGGGACCAAAAGGGAGCGGCCTGGCAAAGCCAGGCCTCTGCGTCCAGCCTAGGCCCAGTGGGCACACCGCTGCGCGCGGAACTTTCTGCCGCTCGCGGCCCGCGCGCTGGGAGGAGCAGAGGGGCGGGGACTCGGGGACACTTCCGGGCAGGCGCGCGGCACTTCCGGACCGCCTTAGCTTCCCGCCGCCATTGGGGAGGCTGAGCTGCTGGCCCCGCACCCTCCTGGGGCCGGGCCTCGCTGCTGCCTCTGCCCCTGGACGCAGAGCAGGATGGTGAGGAACGGGCGCGGGCTCGGGGGCGAGGCCGCGGCCGGGCCGGGACTGGACGGGCTCGGGTCCGGGGCGGCGGGCGCCTTTGTGCGCAGGCCGGGCGTTTCGTGCGGACCGTGGGCTCTTCCCGCTTTCCCTATTCCCGCCTCCTGGCTCTGCTTAATCGCCGTTTAAAAGTCAGGTGGGAGGCCCGGAGGACGAGAGGGGGCACTTATGGGTCTGAAGAAGGCAGATGTACAGAATCGTGACGGTCTCGGGCCTGCGGCGGAGACCACCGCCTCCACAGAGACCCAGCTGGGATCCTGTTGTCCTGGTAGGCGCTCAGATGCTCTGAGGTCGCCGCTGCAAAAACGCCTGCGGAATCCTTGCACCTGCTGGGGTGCTGTTAACAAGAAAGGGAAATAAGCGGTCTTGGGGATGTGGAGAGGTCGGCGGCGCATTGCGGTTGGGAGTGTCGCGTGGTGCTGGCTTAGTAGTTCCCCCCAGTTTTAAAGTTAGGGTCACCCTGTGACCCAGCAGTTGCACCCCTGGGTGTGTGTGTGGGGGGAATCAGTGGTTATCAGGAACACAGAATTTTTAGAGCAGTGAAATTATTCTGCAGACCACTCTGATGGTGAATATATGATCTTTACATGTGTCAGAACCCACAGAGCTGTGCGACATGAAGAGTGACTTCTCATGTGAACTGTAGACTCCATAAGCCAGTGTTCATCCCTTATTACAAATGACCCACGCTAGTTAATATAAGATGTTAATAACAGGAGAAATAGAAAAGGTTGTGTGAAAGAATTGTTTGGGAAGGAGCTCTGTACTTTCTGTTCAGTTTTTCTTAAAACTACTCCAAAAATAAATTTTATTAATTATTTAAAAATCAAGAATGATGAACAATGCTAGTGGGTATATAAACTAACAAACCAGTAACTTTACATTTTTTAAATGTAAGAGACTATATATCTCTAAACTTAGTTTAAAAGATGATCAATGATGTCAGACCTCGAAGAGAGATTGGACAGGAAAAGATGTGATACCATATGACACAGCACTGCATTGAATACTGGGTGATGGGCCAGCAAAGCACCAGTGATTAGACCTTATGTTTTAAGGGACACAAGGCAAGTAATTGTGAAAAGTAGGAGAAATTTCTATTAATCAGGACAATTTAGAGTTATCTTTATTGCGTTAGAAGCTCTGAAAATTTGGAAAAATTTACTAGACTATTGAAGCTTTAAGGAATCAAAAGTGTGTACCCTTTACCTGAAACCTGGATCCTGGACTCAATTCTTTTTTTTTGGTACGGGGATCAAACTCTGCACCTTGCACTTGCGAGGCAGATGGCAGAACCACTGAGCTAAATCCCCGGCCCCTGGACTTAATTCTTTAACGTCCCTGTGGATCGTTCATTGTGGTACAATAGAGATCCGAGGTCAGAAATTCCTAGTCTTCTGTGCTTCCTCTGACTTGGTCTTGGACAAAGTGAAGAAGTTGGATGCAAGTCCTCTGAGGACCATTCTGGTCCTGTATTGATTATTGGCTGCTAATTATGGTCATACTAACAAAGTAACTTGTTCTAGTTCATGGTGGTGTGGTTTCTAAAACTGATGAGCTGAAATCTCCTCTGCTGGCTTCCATTTAGTGATTCTAGAACAGCTTCTGTATTCATATTTTTTCCCTTATGAAGTTAAATATCTATACTCAGAAATGACTTGTTTTTAAAATACTGCCTGTCATTGTATTGCTACTATTGCATCTTTCATAGTTTGCTAGAAACTCTTTGAGTATCCTTCCTGCTCAGAGCTGGAGACAAAAGTATCTGGAAACTCAAATACTCTGCCTAGTACAAAGGGTGAGACAAAATTTTTGTAGTCCTGTATTGATCCAGTTGATAAGTGGATTCTAAATGATAAGACTTATCTTACTACTTTTGGTCTATTACAGAATTGGCTTTTCAAGATCTTCCTAAATTGCAGTGTGTTTGATCATAATGTGCTAGAAAGAACCTGGGTGGAAAGCAGAACTTTATTTTTTATTTATTTATTTTTTAAATCAGATGCTAGTCATTTCCCTGACCTGGGGCAAGCCATTTAATGTCAGGCTTGGGTTTCCTCAACTATAATCTGGAGGGCTTTTTTTTTTCTTTTTCTTTTTTGATTTTTAGAGACAGGGTCTTGTTCAGGCCTTGAATTCACTATGTAGCCCAGGCTGGTCTTGAATTTGGGGAAATCCTCCACCTCACCCTCCCATGAGAGCTGGGATAATTTACAGCTTTGTTTTGTTTTTTTTGAGACAGGGTCTGCTATGCAGTTCAGGCTGGCTTTGAACTTGATAAGTAGCTGAGGCTGGCCTTGAACTCTCCATGATCCTCCTGCCTCAGCCTTTTGACGGCTGGGATTACAGGTGTGTGCCACCACACCCAGCTAATTTACTGTTTTAAAAGCAGATGAGGGCCAGGGATTTAGCTCAGTGGTTCTGGCGCCTGCAAGCACAAGGTCCCGAGTTCGATCCCCAGTACCAAAAAAAAAAAAAAAAAAAGCAGATGATCCCTGAGGTGGGTGTTCAGGTCCCTTCAGGTTTTAAAGTCGGTGAGTCTAAGCATGGATCTCCATCCTTCATGAAGCAGTATTAAGATTGAATACATCTGCCTATGTACCAGTGTTGTACAGGAATTACAGAGGTGAATAAATAGATAGTCCTTGCTCTCTGAGAGCCCTGGCCTGGTGTGGAGTCTGGCTAGAAACCCAAAGAGTGACTCCTACACTAGAAGTATGCATATAGCTGGGGGCCCAAGATGGGTAGAAAAAGAGTAGGAAATTGGCCAGTGCTTAAAAAGATGACCTGTCTGAAAGATGAAAGGATTTGCCTAATGGATAGCAAGAGGGAATAGAATGTAAAGAAAAGAAAGTGCTTTGTGGGAAGGTCCAGAAGCTTGAGGAGTCAGAGTTACTGTGACTGGTCTGGTCAGGAGCTACATTATGAAGAACTTTATATGCCATGCTAAAGTTTTATACTGAAGGTGTCTGGGAGACTTTGAGAAATTATGAACAGGCAAGATACTTTAGGTTTTTAGTTTTTGTAGCAGTGTGGTGAATGAGTTAGTAGGAATGGAGGTGAGGTGTAGAATTAAAGCAGTGCCAAAGTATAGGGAGTAGAGGAAGGGTAATAGATGTGCTGGAGCTCATCAGAAGTATACTAGCAGCAGATACCTATGCAGGACCAGTTTATTTCATTCAATTGTTATTAACAAATTTACCTAGACCATGGTGCTGTCTCTTTGGAACTCATTCAGGAAGAGAAGAGACTAGAACAGTCACTCAAGCAGGTCCGTCCATTTCTCCCCTGGCTTGGAATATTGCCATCCCACCTCGTGCCAAAATTCTCTTCTTTTTTGCCTAGGTCCTCTTGATTGTATTGTTCCTTCCCCTACTGCATGTCAATAGCATCAATAATGAACAGAATGTCAGCTGCTGTTAATATCTGTAGTTGTAGTAGCAGTTGTCTGAATGTTTATCAGAGAAGTAGAAATGTGTCACTATACCCTAAAACTACATAAGCTGAAGTTAGATGGTGAGTTTGAGAATGATCTGGTTATATGCATGTGCATAATTCCATAGTTTAGTATGATGTGAAATTAGACATGGATGGTATCTACTGTAGGCATTGTTGCACAGGCTTATTGGATTTGGCCATCATCATTGGAGGGGTCCCCATGGTGAGAGAAAGACACAGAGATTTATTATAGTGGTCAATATTATCACAGAAATGGAATTTTGATTACCTTTCCTTTGTCTTTTCAGGTTCAACTTCTCGTTTTTGTACTGTTGTAAGGCAGTTCTCTGTGCTGTAGTCAAAAGGCCATGTAGACTACCTGCCCTTTGAAGACCACTTTTAAAGGGTCTCATAAGACAGCTGGTAAGTCTAGCAGGAGAAAGTACATTGTGGTTTGTTTCTTCTCCACTCTAAAAGCATTTGTTTAGGATTTAATAGTGTTTTTGCATTAGTATTTCTATGCATGTGCTATTCATTTGCTTTTAATACTTTGTATTTTTTAATGTTAAAGAAAATATTTTATGACTAAAGAATTTTTGAAAAGTGCCTAGCATTCTTGAGGAAAAATTAGAAAAGTATACGTTCATCTCTAGCAGTGTGTCATGGTGTAGTAATGATAGAGTGCGTGATGATGTGCTAGATGTACATATCTGTGGTAGGATTTGGGATATGAAGAGTGAATTCTGTAGCGTTGTTTGAAGAACTTTTTATCAAGAGGTTGTTTGCGTACAGTGATGAGCCTTGGTGTGGGCAGATGTGGGTGGTGGAACTTTGGAGTTGGCCAGAGGAGATGGTGGTAGGTAGAGGAGGCAAGTAGACTCTTACCTCTGGTACGATGCTCACCTGATGCACTGTATGATGCCGCTTTACTGTGAGTGGCCCTCTACTGTCCACCACAACCACTGTGGACAGATGAGATTATTGATGGATCCTTTGAAGTTATCTAGTTTTAGTGAATGGACGCTGCGTTCTGAGGTGGTGAAACCATTATTTTTACTATTTTTTCCTTCATATTGGTAAGTTAAAGATTATTTCTAGAGACTTTTCTCTAGTGCTAAATTACTATGTATTTTTTCTGTTATAGTCTATTTCTCCTTGGAAAGAATTTTCTAAAAGACAACGCAATTGCTGTGTAATTCAGGAGATAATATTTCCTGAATAAAAGTATTTGAAGGGCCAGGGATTTAGCTCAATGGCACAGCGCCTGGCGAGCACAAGGTCCTGAGTTCGAACCCTGGTACCAAAAAAATAAAATAAAAGTATTTGTTTTCTGTACTATCTCCTTTTTCTCCTTAGAACAACAACAAAGCCATAGCAAACAAGACACCACTGATACAGGTAATGGAAATCAGCACTGTCAGTAATAACACCACTTGTTAAAAACACAACTTGTCAGAATTAGAAACGTTACTGATTTTTTTGTAGTTAGTGTTTTTGATGTTAGTAAACGGCGGCCTTGTGGTTGTGTTTTGCTCTGTGCTATTTTCTGAGGAACAGTCCCATGGAAAGAATGGACCTTTATGGGCAGCAGAATACAGAGCATTTGTGTACTCTCAGCAGCAGCTTGTACTGTTGGTAAATGATGGAATGTTCTATATTGATTTTGTGGTACTGGGTTTTAAACCCAGGGCCTTCCACATGCTAGGCAAATTTTCTGCCACTGAGCTACATCCCAGGCCCTTTTTACTTTATTTTGAGACAGCATCTTACTAAGTTGCTCAGACTAGCCACAAATTTACAGTCCTCCTGCCTCTATCTCCATAGTGGGATTATTGGTGTGTGCATCTGCACCTGGCTGGGACATCTTTTAATGAGAAAAGATATTTATTTATTTTTATTTGTAGACACAGGGTCTTTTTGTGTTGCTAAGACTGGCCTTGAACCCTGAGCGGAAGTGATCATCTCATCTTGCCTCAGCCCTCAGAGTAGCTGGGCCTACAGTGACCACTACTGTGCTTGGGTATTAATGGGGAAGGATTTTGTGACACACTTGGTGAATATACTCACCATATATGTTAACTGCAGAATCTTTTTATCACTTGCTGGACTTCATGCTGAAAATAGCATACCAAAACAGAAGATTGAAGCAATGAGAAATAGAGAACAGTAGAGTCCAGGATAAAATAATATGTAAAATTTAGTAAATACTAAATGGAATATTACACAGGTGAAGGAAAGAGTTGTGTAATCTATGTGGTTGAGATACTAATTTGGGGTGAAAAATTAGGCTGCATTCCTACCTCCTTATACAAAATGAATTAAAGATTCAAATGGAATGGGCTGGGAGTATAGCTCAGTGGTAGAACACTTCCTTATATGCATAAGGCCCTGGATTTTAGTCCCAGCACCACACATATGCACATGTGTGCGTACACACACAAATACACAAGTGTAAAAAAAGTTAGAAACTTATTAAAGGTTTTAAAAAATTAAGAAGACATAATTTAAAAACGAGTTAATTACAAGGAAAACAGTTACAAGTTTTAAAATTTTTGTGTAAACTATGGTTTCTATAAAAGCTCTAAAGAGACAGGTGATACACTGGGAAAATAATAAGAGCTAATTTCTTATATATAAAATTTATAAAAATTTACAAATTATTGAGAAAAATGAACAAAGAAAACCAGCACTTCCTTAACAAACAAACAAAAAGAGACTTGGGGCCAGTAAGGGAAACTGTTAGATCTTTTCATGAAAGAAAAGGACATTAGGCTGGGGATTTAGCTTGGTGCTGCCGCCTGCCTCACAAGTGCAAGTTCCTGAGTTCGATCCCTGGTACCAAAGAAAAGAAGAGTACATTAAACTTTAATAGATGCCAATTTTCACCTAAGTATGACAAAGATTTGGAGTTTTACTCATTTTTGATGAGAGAGTTGGAGAGTTATCCTTCATACTTGCACTGTTTTGCTAGTGACAATACTATATCATTTTGAGAGTTTGGCAAAATGTAGTAATTTTTAAATGCAAATAGCCTTGAGCCATGTAATCCACTTCTAGAAACTGGCCTTGCAGAAATACTCTCACGTACAAAGAAAGTTACAAGGGAACTCCATGCTTACTCTTAAAATATCCTAGATTAGTTCTAAAAACATTGCCAAGTAATGTTTACTGTGACCCCATTTGTGTAAAATGTGCATGGATTTGTATGTATTGAGAATATTTCTTCAGCAACACAGTGCAGTTGCTACTTGGAGTAATACTGTGAGTATTGAGTCTGTCCTTAACTACAAGCCTCTATTACTTTGACCACTGGCTTTAAAGAAGACCTGTTTAGAAGAAGTCATCTTTTCTGGTGGTGATTTTGCGGTCTTCAGGGTGGCTGCTCTGTCAACACTTGCTTGGCGCATTCCGCCACATCATTTGTGAGTTCTGATGGGGATCTTTTCTGAGAGAGCTTTCTGATAGCTGCACTCCATCTGGTCTCCACACTTAACTTACCTGGCCTTGTAAGCACGGTGTGGCAAGGTGCCATGCTAAACCCAAGTGCCTAGAACAGCACAGCACACAAAACAGTCCATCTATAAAATGAGTGAATTAAATACTTAATATTAGAGTAGTTAAAACAGAACAGGATATGTTGACATTAAATCAAGCCAGGATCAGGTTAAAGCAGTTTATCTTTTCATAGCTAGATTTAATTACTAAGTGCTTTCTGGAAAGGATTTAATTTTTTTTGCCCAGCCTTAAATAGCCTATATTTGGGCCAGGGATTTAGCTCAGTGTTTCTGCTGCCTGCCTCGCAAGCGCAAGGTCCCAAGTTTAATCCCTGGTATGCACCCCCCCCCCAAAGACATTCCCTGGGCTGGGGATTTAGCTCAGTGGTTGCACTGCCTGCCCTGCAAAGCACAAGGACCCGAGTTCGATCCCCAGTACCAGAAAAATAAAAAGCCTAGATTCCATTTTGATATTTATCATTGTGTGCTGATGACTTGTTGATTCAAGGTTTTAGAAGTCAAAGTGTAAAGCTATACAATAGGTAATTCTGGGGTCAGGCTTGGGTCACTGATACTCTTAAAACCTGGACCAGAGAACTGAAGTCACTGTTTCTTTGTCGGAAAATGAAGATAAAATTTGCACTATATTGTTAGGAAGATTAAATGGGATAATCTACATAAAACTCCTATCAGAGTGCCTGGGACTCAGTTAAAAATTAGTTCCATTATCTCTTTGCAGTCTTTCAGAAGTATTTTCAAATGAAGCATATGCCATTTTAGACTTAATAGTTATGTAGTTATAGAGTGGACTAGGGCAGCGTTTTATTTAAAATTGTGTCTCATGAAAATAACTTATGTCTACTGTGTTGTAGCAGTGTTTAACGATCACAGCCGAGTGTGTTGGGACAGAGGGAAGATGGAAGTATTCCAGGAGCTGCGTCAGCCTCCCACACGTCTGGAGTGTGAGCACTGCACTTTCAGAGGCACAGATTATGAAAATGTGCAGATCCACGTAGGCACCGTCCATCCGGAACTCTGTGATGACATGGATGCTGGGGGGTTAGGGAAAATGATATTTTACCAGAAAAGCGCAAAGCTTTTTCACTGCCATAAATGCTTTTTTACCAGCAAGATGTACTCCAACGTGTACTATCATATCACATCCAAACATGCAGCCCCAGAGAAGTGGAACGATAGACCAAAAAACCAGTTGAGCAAAGAAATTGAGCCTGTGAACAGCCCTTCTGTTCCTGAACATCAGAAAACACCCTGTAACTCAGCAGATCTGAAGTCTGCACCTCTTCTTTCTGCAGAAACTCAAAAACTTGGTCCAGTTCTTTCTCCAGAGTCTCCAACACCTGCTCTTTTTACTCCCATGGAACTTGAGAAAACTGGCCCTGTTGTTTCTCCTGAGCCCCAGGCACCTCTTCCTCTTGAGCCTTTGAAATCTGCTCCTGTTTCTTCTCCTGAACTTTCAAAACCAGCCCCTTTTGCTTCTGAATCACAGAAGCCTGTTCCTTCTCCAGAGCCACAGAAACCTGCCCCTGTATCTCCTGAACCAGTGAAAGCTGGTCTTCCTAACCCCAAGCCTCAGAAGCACTCTCATTTCACAGAGACAGGAGGGGCTCCTTCGGCCTCATCTCCAGAGTCACCGGTTCTGTCTCCTTCCCCTGACCCTTGGGGGCCATCCCCAACTGCATCTCCAGAATCTCGGAAGCCAGCCCAGACTGCCTCCCCTGAGCCAAGGAAGCTGTCCCCATCAGAATCGCCTGAACCTTGGAAGCCATTCCCTGCTGTCTCCCCAGAGCCCCGGAGACCAGCCCCAGCTGTGTCGCCAGGTTCCTGGAAGCCAGGCCCACCTGGATCCCCAAGGCCTTGGAAATCGAGTCCTTCTGCATCATCAGGTCCATGGAAGCCAACTAAACCTGCTCCATCCGTGTCTCCTGGACCCTGGAAGCCAATTCCTTCTCTATCACCTGGACCCTGGAAACCAGCTTCATCTGTATCCCCTGCATCCTGGAAGTCATCTTCAGTCTCACCAGGTTCCTGGAAAACTCCACCCACATCTCCAGAGTCATGGAAGTCTGGCCCACCTGAGCTTCGAAAGACAACTCCTACCCTGTCACCAGAACATTGGAAAGCAGTTCCCCCAGTATCTCCTGAGATTCGCAAACCGGGCCCACCACTCTCCCCAGAGCTCCGCAGCCCAGCCGGCTCTCCGGAGCTCAGGAAGCCCTCAGGGTCGCCAGACCTTTGGAAGCTTTCTCCTGATCATCGGAAAACTTCTCCTGCCTCCCTGGATTTTTCTGAGTCTCAGAAAAGTTCCCGTGGTGGTTCTCCTGATCTCTGGAAGTCTTCCTTCATCATGGAATCTCAGAAACCCACTGTCTTCCCTGACACCTGGAAATCAGGTCCATCAGAGTCTCCCAAATTGGCCTCAGATATCTGGAAACCTGTTCCCTCCATTGATGCTGAGCCTAGAAAATCCATGCTGTTTCCTGAGCCCACCAAAACCGCCCCTCCTGCTTCTCCTGAGCCACGGAAACGTGTGCTTTTCCCAGAGGCCCGGAAGCATCCTCTTTTTTCTGAGTTCCCCAAATCTGCTGTGTTCTCAGAGTCTCAGAAGATAGCTGAGCTTGGTGATGAGCTACAGACAGATGCCGTACGTGACCCAAAGTGTGATATTTTGGTTCAAGAAGAGCTTCTGGTGACACCGAAAAAAATTTTAGAAGATGCCTTGTTTCCCTCCTCCAAGAAACTCAAGAAGGACAGCCAGGAGCACTCAGATGCCGAGCTGAGCAGCAGTGAGTACATCAGAACAGATTTGGATGCCACAGACATGAAGGGCCAAGAGTCAAGCAGTGACCAAGAGCAGGTAGATGTAGACTCTGTTGATTTTGGCAAAGAGAACAAAATGGACATGCACAGTCCAGAGCAGTCCCGACATGTGCTGCAGTTCACTGAAGAAAAAGAAGCATTTATCTCTGAAGAGGAGATTGCAAAATACATGAAGCGTGGAAAAGGAAAGTATTACTGCAAAATTTGTTGCTGTCGTGCTATGAAGAAAGGTGCTGTTTTGCATCATTTGGTTAATAAGCATAATGTCCACAGCCCTTACAAGTGCACAATTTGTGGAAAGGCATTTCTTTTAGAATCTCTCCTTAAAAATCATGTAGCAGCCCATGGGCAAAGTTTACTTAAATGTCCACGCTGTAATTTTGAGTCAAATTTCCCAAGAGGCTTCAAGAAACATTTAACTCATTGTCAAAGCCGGCATAACGAAGAGGCAAATAAAAAGCTGATGGAAGCTTTTGAATCACCCCTGGAGGAGCAGCAGATTTGATTTTCAGACATACTGAATACTGCTCTATGGTATTGTTTGCTGAGATAACAGCTTGTTAAGTAGCTTGGTTGGATCAGTAGATGGTAATGTGTATGGTGTGCCGTATTTGTCTCATAGTGCTACAAAACAAGCATTTGGTTATTTTTTCATGGTCTCTGTTATGTGACTGTCTTGTAAATCAATAAAATTTTAATGTATATTCCAGATGGATAAAACTTCTCCTTTTTTTTAAGTATATTTAAGTAGAATTACAAAGGGGTAGGTATTCCATTTAATAAATGAGCAACTTCTAAACACCTAAAGTGTATGCGTGTGTGTGTGTGTGTGTGTGTGTGTGTGTGTAGCTGATTTCAGACAATAGAAATTATTAGGTGGGGCTGGTGGTTTAGCTCAGTGGGTCCACTGCCTGCCTTGCAAGCTCAAGGTCCTGAGTTTGATCCCTGGTACCAAGAAAAAAGAAGAATGATTAGGTGGGCTGGGCATACAGCCCTCATTGGTGGAGCACTTGCCTGCCATGTGTGAAGCCCCTGGGATTGATCCTAGCACTGAAAAAAGTGGAGCATTTAAGAATTTGGCATGAAAGTAAACTTTGGAAAAGCTTTGTTGCCTTTCCTTAAACACATTTTCAGATCATCAGTTATTTTCTGTTTTACCTTATAAAATTAGCTTATAAATCTTGATGTTTATTTGCTTTCGTGTCATGGAAAGTTGGAGTCTCAGGGTCACCGATTTTCTGCTAACAGAAAATTGAGTAAGTCCTGAAAGTCGTTTGCAGGCTCCTGCTGGAGGCTGGGAGGAGCGTTAGTGTGATGGGGTCCTTGCCATTTCCAGTGGGGTCTTCCATTTGGGGTCCTGCCCTTCACTTTTCTGCCAGCTCACACCAGCAGATGATCCTTAATTGCCAAATGTGTTAAGTTTGTCTCTTCTACTCCTGGGCGTTTTGTGCCTCCTGTTGGGGTTTAAGACCAGGGTAATGGATAGGAGCTGAAAGTCTTCCAATTTCATAGTAAAAATTTTTATAAATAGACATTTCTGTTTGACAAGTATATCAATTTTGTTTTTCATGGTTCTGTTACTGTAAATACTTTGTACCTATTCATGGATTATTTTATTCTAAGATACTTTGTCAAATGTGTATAAACCAAATTAAAAAGGCTTTAGATGTCTCAAATTTTGTGGGGTTTTTTCTTGTGTAATTTTCTATGTATGACTCCAAGTTCCATTTTTTCTCTGCCCTTGTCACTTTCAACATACTAGTTTTCATGTATTGAGCATCATTTTTTGAGCTGTTGTTTTTTTCTGGGTTCAATGAGCAGTAAGGAAACACCATATACTTGACACTCTGTGGGATGTCTTTTTGGTGCATATTAGTATATTAAAGGTTGTTTGATCCCAGTGGCTGATTGCCTTGCCTGACTCATTTCAACATTGTAAGAAGACTTTTAGTGTCAAAGGGTTCGGAGGTATAGACAGGATTGAGACACTGGATCTTGTTTACTCACACACTTTAACCATGTTTAGTTAGGAGATCATTCTTGGCTCACCTACTTTTTTTCTTTAAACCATGTGCCATTTCTTTAGAACTTAACAACTTTACTTGGTAATTTTGCCATCTATACAATATCTCTCCTCAGTGACCAGCTCACTGACTTTCATTTTCTTCCTCTTAAGACTAATGAACTTGGAATCCAGTGTTTTCTCCTAACAAAAGGAAGTGAAAAGGTATGCTTTTACTCCACATTTACTGGCTTTATGCCATTGTATGTTTGTTAGGTGACCAGTTATTCTATTCTACATGAGTTATACCCAAGTAGCATTTTAAAAAATACTACTGGTGTGGACTCTGTGACTATTTTAGATAAGACCTAAAAGGATGCTTATTTTAAAAGATCCCCAGGCTGTGTTCCCTTTTAGATTGGACTACAGCTCCAGATCTAAAATCTCCTGAAATTGTACCTTTCTCAATCTAGCAGTTGCTGGTGTAATTCTGATCATGTTAATTTGCCATTGCTGTCACAAATTACCTGGAATTCAGTTGCTTCAGCACTAAATGTTTTCTAACAGCTGTTCGCTGGGACAAAGTTGGTGTTCTCGTGGCTTTTGCCCTGTGCATCTTGCAGCGATGCCTTGCACTCCTTGACTCATGGTTCCTTTCCTGCATCTATAAAGCCAGCAGCATTGCATCTCTGACCCCACTTCAGCCATTAATGCTTTTCTGTAAGTGCTGCTTCTCACTTAGCTGAAGGACAGTTGTGATTACTAGAATGTACCCAAATGAACTGGGGCAACCTTTCTTTTTTGCAGTCAGCTGGATAACAACCTTAATTCATTCAACCTTTGCATGTCAACTACCATGGTCAACAGGTTCTGGGGGTTAGGACCTGGGTATCTCAGGGAGCCACTGTACTTGCCACAACTGGGCTTAAAAGTTGGGGTTATCCTGGTCTGGGTTGGCCTCAGCGATCAGGCCGTACAGGGTTTCTTTGGTGATGTGTCTGTTTCCACTGCCTTGCTGGTCTAGGCCCTCATCACTGAGGAGAATGGTGTGATAACTACTCACATTCTCGCCTCCAGCATCTACCCCAGCCCCCTCACACATGACCAAATCTCCACAATTTTAAGTGGCCTCTTAATGTCTAGTTGCTGTCGTCGACAAACTACCTTACTCAAGCAGCCTTCCCACCTTGGACATCTAGGTTACCCAGTATGGCTTCTTCAGAAGCACCCATTCTCACCTCAGAGGTCACGTGGGGCAGGGTGGCATCTGATCAATCACAAGTGTAAGTGTTGTATTAATCCCAAGTATAAGACACAAGGTAAAAGAATTACAAAGCTGAGTTATATGCTGTTTACAAAGACAAAATATAAGAACAATGAAATTTCTTTTTTAAGGATAGAAAATTATTGAAAGATAGCTTCTGTCTAAGAGAAACAGGGGGGGCTGGAAAATGGGTGGTCCCCCCCCGCTTTTCAAAGGTGTTTTATAAGGTAGTCAGGTGAGGTGGGTACAAAGTGGGACAAAACTAAGACCCAGTGGAAAATTACTAAGTGGGTATGAGGTGGAACAAAACCATGACCAACCAATAAGAATACAAGTAGAGTCACTCAGGTAATATTGATGAAATGGGGATCAAATGAGAAAACAAGTCAAGGAATTTCCCATTTAGAATATCAATCATTGCTACCTATCTCTAGGGGAAGTAGCACCTCTTTTCTTTTTTATAATGCTAACCAGTGAGTGTGCCTCAATTAGAACAAAGAGACTTAAAAGAATAGAAAAAGGCTAAACTTAACCTGTAAACACTAACCAGAAAAAGTTTATCTTTCCATTACTGGCTTTCATGGTAGCTCGTTAGAAGACATGAAGGGTATGGCAGAATTATCATTTGATGAAGACATTAGTGATCATTCTGCCATACCCTTCATGTCTTCTTCCAAATATGTTTTCTCAGTTTTTGTAAAACAAAAAAGCCAGTAATGGAGAAGGCACCAGCAGAAGCTCATCCAGCTGGGATTAGGGAAGACTGGTGGGAGGAAGGAAGGAATGCTTTCGGGCTTCTTGGATTTTACAGGATGGAACACAGGGTTACTTGGCTTGTGCTGTTCAAGACAAGGGCAGAATGATCCTAGAGGGACTCAGATCCTCAGGGCCACTGTCTCAGTTTCAGCAGGCCCAACAGCCTCCATCTAAACCCTCAGTATAGGGGACACAGAACTGTGGCAGCAAACTTCCTACCTTGGCAGAGCTCTGGAGGCTTGGACCTTGCCTGGCAGAGCAGGGCCAGGACCTCCTCCCAGTGTGTCTGAAGGCAGAAGATCAGGATGAAGAGGAGTCTTTTTATGCTGCTCAGGCTGGTCTCAAACTCCTGGACCAAAGTGATCCTCTTGCCCCAGCCTTCTGAATAGTTGGAACCACAGGCATGTGCTCTGGGATCTGGAAAGAGTTATTCTTCAAACTTCAGATATCATGGCATTTGCCTGTGAGGTTTTAGATTCCCTTGGAGCCTGTTACCCTTCTTTCTTGGGAATGTCTTCTTCATCTCTGTGTTGTTTTCTGAAACACATAACTTGATTGGTTTCACAAAGGCACAGGTAGAGAGGACTTTTGCCTCAATAAATAATTTCTTATGTCTCATGTAACTGTTATAAGAAGGGACACTAGAGAAATGATCTCTCTGCACCAAGTGAAGTTACAGCAAGAAGGCATTCCTCTATGAACCAGGAAGGTGGCCTCACCGGGAACCACGTCAGCCAGCACCTTGATCTTGGGCTTCTCTGCCTTCTTGTGTGGAACACATGTATGTTGTTTAAGCCACCCGGTATGTGGTGTTTCAGTATAGCATCCTGGGCTGTCTGAGACAGTTGTGGTATAAACACAAGGCACAACTGAGAGGAGCTGTTGTTTTCACAGGTGGATAAATCCCAGTTTGGAAGCTTCTCTGGCAGCAGTTTCTGTAGGCAGACATTGGGGACTGTAGCACATATGAGATAGGCTGAGCACTGTCCTTATGGGTCTGTTTGGCTTGAGGAAGTCCATGACACCAAAACGTGAAGCGCATAACCAAAAGCCTTAGACCCCAGAGCTGGGCAATTGGCTTGGGAAGGTGGTGCTCCACAGAGTTGTCACATCTGCATGAGGAAAGATCCTTTCGTACAAGGGAAGTACACAGAATTGTGACAAGGCCAAACTTGTGAAGGCCAGACTCAGGTATGGAGAACAGGTGTGGGGAACTGTCTCACACATTCCCAACCCCTCACAGTGGAAGGACCTATCAAGGTCAGACTCCTCAAATTCTGTTTTTTGTTGGTTTTTTTCCTGGTACCCAAGATCAAACTCAGGACCTTGTGCTTGCAAGACAGGTGTGGTGCCACTGAGCTACATCCCCGGCCCTTTCAAATTCATTTTTTTGAGACAAAGTCTCACTAAGTAATTCATGCTGGGCTTGAACTCACTACATAGCCCAGGCTGGCCTCAAACTCTTGGCACTCCTCCTGCCTTAGCCTTCTAAGTGCTGGGATTACAAGCATGCACCACTACACCTGGCACATACCTCACATTCAGAAAAGATGCACCACTCTGCAACACATGTGCACAATTCAGAAAACCTTAGAAGGCACCTTAGCTGAGAGGGAGGGAAAGAGATGATCCAGGGCTACGTCATGTGCCTGGAGGGAGGGGGATGTTTGAAAGCCCCTTGATTTCCTAGGAGACCCTGCAGGAGGGTGTGTGGGTGGAAGTCAGACCATGGGGACTGAGACACAGCTTGCCTTGCTTGGAAGCTGGTGGCTTTGCCTCCATCTGCAGGTGATCATGAACTTACTGAGGGCCACCTCGCTGGCTGGGACGGTGAGCCCACTGGGGAACACTGTCAGGGAGAGCTCCTGCCCGACACTCAGCACACTCTGCCCCTTCGCACAGGTTGGGGTCATCTGCTGCAGGTCCCAGGCACCTAGAGACATTTTCTCCCAGCTGTGGTTGCTGTTCATTAGGTCTCCTGTGTAAACATTGCCAATTGTTGCTGGACCTCTGCACCTGGCAGCCAAGTCTTCCTTCCTGGGGACATACCAGCTTCCCCTAGCAGATGTTGTCACTGCCTGATGTCACAGACGCCATGGGGGATGAGCTCTGGAGTCCAGTCCCTCTATTAGTGGCAGCAGATGGCTCCTGTGTATCCTGACTCTCAATTCCCTGCTTATGGCCAAAGCTGCTGGGGGGAGCCTGGGTGAACATTGTTCTGGGTGTGGATAATGGAAAGGCCCACAGTTTTTGTTGGTGGTGCCAACCAATAGGCTTGCATCCCAGATGGTCTAAAGTGGAAAGGGAGGCTCATTGCTGCTGCTTCATTGCTTCCTTCCTGCAACACCATGAACTCTTTCTCCTCTGCCGTGTCCCTCTGCCATGCAGTCCTGCCTTAGAGCCAGCAGACCATGGACCTCTACTAACTTTGAGCCAAAATAAACCTCTTCTCGTTAACTTTTAGTGTCAGGTATTTTGTCTTAGCAATGAGAAAAGTAACTAAGACACATATATCGAACCATCCTTTATCCATCTCTGGGATGAAGCCTACTTAGTCATGATGTATAATCATGACTCTTTAACATTTTTTTTTTTTTTTTTGGTGCCGGGGATCAACCTCAAGTCCTTGCACTTGCAAGGCAGGCGGTGGAACC